ATTTGTATATATAATTATCATTGTTCTGTGTATTTTCTAATTAATATTTCTTTTAATGAGAAATCCCAAGTTATCAAATAGTCTCCATNATGAATTTGATTATTTTTCTTGATAACGAATAGTTAACTGAAGAAGGATTTAATATAATGATAAGGGTTACACTACCACATTAATATTATTAAACGATAAAGAAAAAATGCAAATCTATATATATATTTAGTTTTTCGAGATATTGAAAAATTAGCATTGTAGATTTTTATCTAAGTGAAAAATATGACTTTCGATTTTTATTTTTTGGAAAGAAATTCAAATAAAGGCTAAAGAGTAAATGGTCAGGTTGTTAAGGTTATGAAAATCATAACTTCGATAATGGTTAATTGTGTATGAATTACATGGAAAGTTGTTATTTATAATATTATGCCAGAGGACAATTTTATCTTTCAATAAGAAAATTTGTTCCATTTTGGAAATATGTTGGATGCATTATTTTAGATTTTTGATAAGGAATCATTTCAAATTACTCATTGTACTTTGGTAGCCTTATTGTAAAATTAAAAATCTACTATTTTATAGATAAAGGAGTTTTTTTATCAATATTTTTCTTAAGAGTTCTAAATTTCTAAATAGCATAATATATAAACGCATTCATTATTTATCTCTATTAGTCATAATAAAAATAAAAGTTGGTTTATTTTACAGAATATTGGAGTAAATTATTGTCAAAAAGTGGAAAGTTATAAGAATCTTTTTGTAATTATAAGAATAGCATAAATTGTATTGATGTTAACTTTTGAAGGACTTGAGTTAGAATAATTGAATTTACAATTAATTAATTCTTATAGAGAGCAAAAATGGTGGTAAGAATAAAGAGTTTTGATAATTATTCTATATTGAAAATCGCATAAAATATGTATTTGTAAGGGCAATTTTTGTTTAAAATTTTTTTAGTATTTTGCTTTTAATTTTAATTAACCTGTAAAGAAGTATAATTTGATAACTAACTTAGAAGCATTATTTTTAATTTCTATAATTTGTTTGTATTGAGTAATATCTGATACAAATTTGTTCATTTTGAGAGTTGATTATGATATTTTTCTATAAACTGAAACAAAAATTTATTGAATGTTGATTAAATTTCTTGAAATATTTATATAATAAAATATAATTTGTATATATAATTATCATTGTTCTGTGTATTTTCTAATTAATATTTCTTTTAATGAGAAATCCCAAGTTATCAAATAGTCTCCATCATCACTTAATGATCCAAATATACTAGTTGTTCCAAAATGAATAGATTACTCAAGTATAAATTGTCCATTTTGTGTCATTTATATAATATTGATATATTTATGATGCTTATTCAATAGTAATTATTTTGATTTAATATATTATTATGGAAACAATATCGTATGATCACTACCTTGATTAACAATAATATCTTTAGTTTTAGTGAATTATTTACTTAAACTATTCATCTCATAGACATGCATTGAATCATCATCAGAAGGTTAAAATGTGAATAGAGTATTGTTTATAAAGCATAATCGATATCCCCTACAATCAACATTAATTTTTTAAATTGGAATCCAATTTCTATTTTATTCTGAATACTCAATTATTAAGATTAATTTATCATATCCACAAGAAATAACTTAATTTTATTAGTCATTTAAACTTAATGAATAAACATAACTTTGATGATCTGTGATTGTTTATGAACAGATCCATTCATTTTGCTTAACCCAAAACTTAATAGTTTTATCATCACTGCATGATATAAACAGATCTTCATTATTATTCACAATTAAACAATTAATACAATATTTGTGTCCTTTAATTGTTTATGAGCAAACCCATGAATTGTTGTTATTAATTGACCAAATTGAAATATTGCCTTAATTATCTCCAGATATCAACTAATTAGATTGTTTCATAAAATTTAATGTAAACACATATCCTTGTATTTGATCTAATACTTGAATTTATTTAAAAACTTCTTATTTGAATTCATATATTATTATTTTTTAATTCAATCCAACTGCAATAATTTAGCAAACTTTATTAAAAGCAAAAGAATAACAATCATTCTGTTATTTAATGGAACTATGTTAAATATAATTAAATGGTTTTAGATTAAATGAAGATTGAGATTGAATATTATGATGTTATTTAAATTATAATTATGATTTGATTAAAGGTGTCAATTCTTAAAGGATGTTTGATTAAAACTTGGATTAATGAATAAAATGAAATTCATTTAGTTTTGGTAATGATGATTATGATTTAAGATTAGTAATTGTTTTAATTGGATTATCTATAATCAATACTTAATCAATCAAATTATTTATTTTATCAAATGATTACTAAAATAATTATCATAAATACATCTAACTCTTTCTCCATTTCTTTCATTTAACATTCTATTTTACTCTACAATACCTATTCAACTTACATTTCTATTCAAATTATTATTATTATTATTATTATTAATATATTTTATGATTTGAGGTATTTGATACCAAAATAATTAGACATAAAATTTAATTTTTCAATTAAAATGATACTTAATTAGTTTGTCAAAATACTAAATGAGACGAAAATAATTGAAAAAATATCAAATCAAAACAGAAATAATTTTAGGTTATCTGATTCTCATAAGGTAAGTATGCGGATCTTTCGTTTTTTTAATTCATTCATTTAAGAGATGAGGACATTAAACAGAGTGGAAAACTTTTATATTAATATTATTTTTCAATGTGCTTGTGAATAATTATACAACTGTAAAGAGGAGTTGGAAGCAAATAATATTAATTGAGAGTGGAGAAGATTTATAATAAAATTAAAAGAGAAAGTGAAATTTCTCAAAACAACTCAAAAATGTTCTAAATAATCTATGAAATAAAAAATTCAGATTTAAGTTAGAATATCATTATCTAAACTCAGAGATGGCATTTAAATTTCTCATCGGTAATATTTTTTGATTAATTATCATTAAAGAAAAAGAATAATATATTTCATTTAAGTTTGAAAAGTAAATAGATTTAGGAGTTAGGATTAAAATAATAAACCTCATTTTGCGACTTTAGATTTGAGATCTATGAAAATCTGTGAAAACATTTTTTTCAGCATTCCACATTAAGGATAAATTATTAGATTAAATCATTTATTATTTTTTTAAAGAAATTAATCTAGCAGCAATTTAAAAGAAGATGTCCAACTATGGCTCGGCCAGGTATAACGATATCTGAGGGGGATCTAGCATTAAGCTTTATAATGGTCGACCTCAAAGCTCCTTAAACAAAAAGGAAAAGAGCAAGAGCATGTTTAATACAAAATTGACATTGATTTCTGTATCAGCAGTGTTTCAAATTAGACTTTTCTGTCAATCGCTTATAAAATTTGATAGACTTTTGAATTCTTACTGACTTTGTTGGGATTCTTATGGAAATAAAGAAAAAGTTGTTTTTTAAGTAAAATTTTATTTATTCATAATTGCTAATCATAGTAGGCACTAAAAAAATATAATTATTAAATGAAATACAAGAGGTAATAGTAAGCATTTTCAAATATTTAGATATTTTTCTTTATAAAATTTGGCAACTCATTCATTCACTCTTATTAAATCATTTCCTTCTAATTTTACATTTAGGAAATGCTCAGTTATCTGATAGCAGTGTTTATAAATGATGTCCAATTTTTCACCCTCTAAAACTTTAATAGCAGCATTTTAGTAATGACTGAAGAAAAGTCAATAACCATACCTTCATCATAATCTGAATGATAGAATATGGTTTAGCATTGCTATTTATTGCAAATATAATTTCTCTGTTCTCACTAATCTATTTCAAATACTTATTTTGCCAGAATTATTGTTTCTCATGAAATTTTCAGTTTCTCCTTTTTTAGATCATTAATTTTTTTAACATCCTAAAACATTAGACATCCTTTATTTCTTCAAGGCATTCTATTTTTTGACTTGAAATCAAGATAACATAAATTTTGTTAATATCTGCAATTTCAGGTTTTCTTGTTAATGAAGTTTACCCGAACTTAATGATAGAGTTTATATTATACAAAAAATTCTTTTGAATCTTCCTACTCCCTCATATAGAACCATAAAGCTTATGTTTTTAAAATTGGGCATAATTGATTCCTTAGAATATCTGTGTACTTATTCTGTCTTGTAATCTTCAAACAAATCTAGATTTCTTTAATTTCTGGCTTTTCTTAATTTTGTAGACCTTTTGACTTCTGGTCTTCTTTTTTCTTCGTTTCGTTTGAAGACTAATTTATTATTAATGGGAAATGATAATTAAGAGATGAAATTATAAAGATTGTGAATTATAAGATGTAAACTATTTGAAATGTACTTCAACATATAAGCTTGAATTAACAATATTGTAAGGGTGTGTGTAAGGGAGAGAAATGTTTAAAAGAGAACATCTTAATTTATAAGTATTTCTAAATTAAGTCTATAAAGGAACTGTTTTCTTAGACTATTTAAAAAATGGGAAAGCTCGGAAAAGAAACAAATATGTAGACTTTGGAAATAAAATATTGTTTGATTTGACAATATGATTTTTTATACATGAGGGAAAAGATTTTTTTTTTAGATAAATAACAAAAAAACTAATGCATAAAGAATTCTTTAAGAAAAGAAAAATAAAAAAAAATTAATTAACTCATAAATATTTATGAGGGTTGGTTTATTAGTGACACTCTTGTTTGGGAGTACTTTCTACCAAAATTTCCGATTTCCATATCCTTGAGGCTTCTAATTGTCTCCCAACCTAAGAGATATTTGTTGGATCTGGTGATATGGAGGGAAATTCTTCAAAGCCAGAATCTATAGCCGAACGAAGGTTCCTGTCTGTCGGGCGATATAGCCCTGACATTGTGACAGTTTATCAGAAGAGATCCACAACTTGAATATCTTCCTTTGGAACAACTAGAGATATTATTTTGATAAATCTAAAGTTTTCCAAAAAAATTTTCATATGAGAGCACAGGAGGCATAATTTGGAAAGTATACTGACATACAATTTATTAAATATTAGTATTACCGAAAAGAACGATTCGATAGCCCCTTAAAGAAGTAATTCCATTCATTATTCCTTCAATTAGACTACAAAAATTAGAAACTAATAATGCTTTAGCAGTTAGGTTATATCCAAAAACGATTTCCCTTTTTTTGGTGAACATAAACGGTACCAAACGTCATCAAAGATAGAATGGAAAGCAACACTTGAATCTCACTTATATTCTGTTGTAAATTTTCTAAAGATGATATAAACTAAAAATGAGAAAAAATTCTATTGCTAATATTAATTAGTTTCTCATTAATTGATTAGAAAATAAGGATGAAACTAAATTAAGATAGTTGGAGAGCCTTATTATATATAAAATAGGAAACTAATATTTTATAGAATACACTCTACAATTCTTCTGGCCATCAAGCAATTTCATAATTTTACCATACCATAAGAAGACCTTTCAAAGAGACATATTCTAGACAAAAAAGCCTCAATAAATACTTGGAGTGTTTAGTAACCTAACCAACAAATATAAATGAGTTTATGAAGATTTCCAATTTTCGACGAAAAATTATTCACTCCGTGTATAATAGACCTGTTAAAAATCCAATAACAATAACTGATCCTTGAGTGTTGGAACTTAAAAGTTTTAAAGTTTAAATAGATAGGAAGTCGATTAAGAATTTCTTTTCTTCTGTGAAAGTAGTATTTTATGACTTCATCGAACTTAATAAACTAATAAGTTACCTCGACCAGGATGGGGTCATCTCTGGATAAACTTTAATGACTTGATGAAACAAAGATGCATATACAGTATCAGGTTAATTTCCCAGAATAAGATGAATTCTCTAATATCAATAAAAGATTAATTTAAACCCATTTTGGTAATAAGTCACTATGTCAAATTGTTTGAGGAGACTTATGTACAAAAATTATTTAAATAAATCTTAACATCTGAGATAAACCCTTCCTCAATTAGATTTGTGTCCCACTTGTGTTGCTCATAATTAATAGATCAATCATCGAAGAACTTAAACAAAAACAAAAGTTCAAAAAAAGGAAGGGCTTTTTTTAATTTAGCAAACGCAAAACAAAGTGAAAATACACTAATTTAGATTTAATTGAAATCATATCTAAATAGCATTAATCTATTATTTGTATTTAGAAAAACAGAAATTAGTTTAAAGGTGAGACTAATGAAAACTATTTTAAATATTACCCTAGATCAATGGAACTAGGTTGTGAAAATAAATATCTAACTCTGAAGCGGTTCTAACCAGCAAGTTTTGCAAGGACGAAGTCAAACTAGAATTACATCTTTCAATAGAATAATTCAAATATATTATTTTGATTTCTTTAATTGAGCATTGATGATGGAGAAATTGGTATATATTTTCTTATTTATAAGGTAATTCTTCGTTACTTTAAAGTACCTATAGATAGAGAAATTTAGGATCTATCACAATTATCATATAGAAATAGCTCTTGATTTTAAAAAATAGATATGAAGTGAATGTTCTGAAGTTGCTTTTCAATTAATCTAAACTAGAAATTGAAAAGTGTACTTTAGAACAGTCTATAAATTTCAAGCATACTTTTTACATGAAGAAGCAATTCTAACTGAAGATTTACTTTAAGTTTGGTATTAGACTACCGATCCATTATAAATTAGAACTTTCAAATAGAATTTATATTACAATATTAAAAGATTATTATTAAAATCTAATATTGAGCACATTCTTTAAGATATAAAGTTTTATATTTGATATCAGAATATACTTATGCAAAGGAAGTTATTCTTTATTCTTTCTATATCATGTGTTAAATACAGCCTATTTATACTTAATAATCTCATAATAATTGTTTCTTATTTCAAAAAATTTAAACTAACATTGTAATTATTTATTAAAATAATATATCATGACTAAAAGACCTCGCTTGAAGAGGTTCAAACCAGAGAAAGTAGAAGGTTTGCTAGCACTATATGAGTATTCTAATCACTCAATGCTTAGATGAATAGATCCTTGGGAAGCTCAAAATTATGGATCTTGCACCCAACAGAGAGGGAATGGTCAAAAGCATTGTCGACTCCTTCCTAGATAGGAAGGAATAGTGTGATCACAGAGAAACTTAGGGAAAAACTTAGAATTCTGACTGGATTTCCATATTAGACACCTCTCTTCATTTAAAAACCCCAGACTCAAGATAAAACTTATCATGTTCACCTTGATGATTATGAACTAAATCATGTTAGGTTATATCACAATAGGAATTTTTACACAAATTATATGAAGAAGATATAGATATATGCAAGTCATCAAGAGTAAATGGAATGGGTATATACACTATGCTAAATGTAAGAAATGACCAATTTCAAATTTTATACTAATTAACTATTCTGAATTTAAACACTAATTACTTACATATGCTTGAGTTTCTAAGAGTTGATGATCAGTAATTAAAAAGGAATCTTTCAAATGACTTTCTAAAGATAACTTTATAAAAACAAACATTAATTAAATGGTTGATGAATTATTCCTAATAACTAGAGTAATTGCAGAGACTCAAATCATAGGTAGATGAATTAAATATTAAAAATTTAAATGAAGTGATGTCCTTCAAAATCTGAAAGGGATGTAAAGAAAGAGGGTAGTTAAAAAGGTTTAATCTATAAAGAATTAGTTCAGATTAATAATAAGAGAATTTTCATCCTTCAATACTTATTGAAGCATCAAACAATAAAAGTTAAACCATGATAGAATTAGAATTACACCAACCTACAAAGAAATGAGAATATTTATGAATTCAATGAATACTATCTTAGTGATGGGATATTAGTAAGATAATATTGAAAGTAAATTTTTAAATTGAAAACTTCAGCCTATTGTTTATTAAAGTAGCTTTAGTTAAATTGAATTGTACTTCAACTAGAATATTCACAATGTAGATTTGGGTTAAACCTTAAGAGATGATTAAGTGAGGAGAGCAATTAAGCTAAATAATAAAATGTTAATAAATATAAGAAGTGGTAGGTGAAAAATATTAATGATGAACTATGTATATTGTTTTATTTATTTTTATAAATGCAAAGGGTTTACAAAATTAAAAAATATGGTTTCAATGAGCATTTAAAGTCTTATTGATGTATTTGGGCTTTGATTAAAATCGTTTTTGAAAATGTCAAGGTGTTTTAGAATTAATCTCTCAATGCATTTGAGTTTGAATTGAAATGCGTTACAAGCATTAAATCATTTGCAATTTTGACATAATTAATGCTCATATTAATAATATAATTTTAGGTTAATGTTGAGAAAATTAAAATCTTAAAAATTTTATAATTTGATCTTAGTAAGGCGATTTCTCTTTAATAATCTTATATAAAAAATTTATAAATAATTCATTTATTTTATTAGAAAACTTCTAAAAATAAAACAAAAAGATCCTAAATTAATAATTAAAGTATTTTAACAATTTTAATGTAAATATTGGCAAATACGTTTAAGTAAGAAGATACCAAGAACATTAAAATTTATAAATATCAAGATAATATATTTTTTCATATTTAGCATGTGTTTATTTTTAATATAATTCAATTCTCATAATATATTTCACCGCAATTTTAATTCCAATATAAATCTATTTAAATCCACTTACCAATTTTTTACCCATTTCTATATTCACCATTGAAAGTAATTTTTGATTATCCTGATCCGTCACCAAAGTTTTCACTCAATTCAGTCCAGTTACCAATCTTAACTGAGCATCCATTTACTGAATCATCATAATATCCACCACCGCTTAAAAAAGTAGATTTGGAATATTTACATTTTTTCGAATTCATCTTTGTCCTTTTCCCTAAAACAAATTTCCCATTTGCCCACTTTTTTATCCTTTTTGTATTCACCATTATAAATGATTTATGCATAATCGTAAAATTCATCACATAACTCAATCCATCTGCCTATTTTAACACCAATACATTCTTCGTCATAGAATCCACCTCCACTATAAATTTAACTTATATTAATGTTTACATTTATCTAAAATCCGCACAATATGGCCCTCTAAATAGAATATTCCATCTACCTACTTTTTAACCATTTTTATATCCACCCTTATATATTACTTAAGAGTCACATTAAAACCCATCACTCAATTCAATCCAATCTCCAATCTAAATTTAACTCCCATGATCATATGATCCGCCACCTCTATAATGGACTTTATTATTTATATTTACATCAATTGATCCTTTTTGGTATTTCTATCTCTAGTAAAAGTATCCCATCTGCCTATTTTTTTCCCATTTTTGTATTCACCTTTATAAGTGATTTACGACCAACTAACAAATCCACTACTTAATTCTATCCATTTTCCAATCTTAAATCCATTGCCTTTTTCATCATATTCTCCACCACCACTTCAAATTAAGAATATAGCTTTACATTTAATTTTCCAAAAAAAAGATATCCCATCTTCCAACTTTTGTACCATTTTTNGAGAATTTTCATCCTTCAATACTTATTGAAGCATCAAACAATAAAAGTTAAACCATGATAGAATTAGAATTACACCAACCTACAAAGAAATGAGAATATTTATGAATTCAATGAATACTATCTTAGTGATGGGATATTAGTAAGATAATATTGAAAGTAAATTTTTAAATTGAAAACTTCAGCCTATTGTTTATTAAAGTAGCTTTAGTTAAATTGAATTGTACTTCAACTAGAATATTCACAATGTAGATTTGGGTTAAACCTTAAGAGATGATTAAGTGAGGAGAGCAATTAAGCTAAATAATAAAATGTTAATAAATATAAGAAGTGGTAGGTGAAAAATATTAATGATGAACTATGTATATTGTTTTATTTATTTTTATAAATGCAAAGGGTTTACAAAATTAAAAAATATGGTTTCAATGAGCATTTAAAGTCTTATTGATGTATTTGGGCTTTGATTAAAATCGTTTTTGAAAATGTCAAGGTGTTTTAGAATTAATCTCTCAATGCATTTGAGTTTGAATTGAAATGCGTTACAAGCATTAAATCATTTGCAATTTTGACATAATTAATGCTCATATTAATAATATAATTTTAGGTTAATGTTGAGAAAATTAAAATCTTAAAAATTTTATAATTTGATCTTAGTAAGGCGATTTCTCTTTAATAATCTTATATAAAAAATTTATAAATAATTCATTTATTTTATTAGAAAACTTCTAAAAATAAAACAAAAAGATCCTAAATTAATAATTAAAGTATTTTAACAATTTTAATGTAAATATTGGCAAATACGTTTAAGTAAGAAGATACCAAGAACATTAAAATTTATAAATATCAAGATAATATATTTTTTCATATTTAGCATGTGTTTATTTTTAATATAATTCAATTCTCATAATATATTTCACCGCAATTTTAATTCCAATATAAATCTATTTAAATCCACTTACCAATTTTTTACCCATTTCTATATTCACCATTGAAAGTAATTTTTGATTATCCTGATCCGTCACCAAAGTTTTCACTCAATTCAGTCCAGTTACCAATCTTAACTGAGCATCCATTTACTGAATCATCATAATATCCACCACCGCTTAAAAAAGTAGATTTGGAATATTTACATTTTTTCGAATTCATCTTTGTCCTTTTCCCTAAAACAAATTTCCCATTTGCCCACTTTTTTATCCTTTTTGTATTCACCATTATAAATGATTTATGCATAATCGTAAAATTCATCACATAACTCAATCCATCTGCCTATTTTAACACCAATACATTCTTCGTCATAGAATCCACCTCCACTATAAATTTAACTTATATTAATGTTTACATTTATCTAAAATCCGCACAATATGGCCCTCTAAATAGAATATTCCATCTACCTACTTTTTAACCATTTTTATATCCACCCTTATATATTACTTAAGAGTCACATTAAAACCCATCACTCAATTCAATCCAATCTCCAATCTAAATTTAACTCCCATGATCATATGATCCGCCACCACTATAATGGACTTTTTTATTTATATTTACATCAATTGATCCTTTTTGGTATTTCTATCTCTAGTAAAAGTATCCCATCTGCCTATTTTTTTCCCATTTTTGTATTCACCTTTATAAGTGATTTACGACCAACTAACAAATCCACTACTTAATTCTATCCATTTTCCAATCTTAAATCCATTGCCTTTTTCATCATATTCTCCACCACCACTTCAAATTAAGAATATAGCTTTACATTTAATTTTCCAAAAAAAAGATATCCCATCTTCCAACTTTTGTACCATTTTTATATTCACCCTTATAAGTAACTTATGAATCATCCCTAAACCCTAAACTTAACTCTATCCATTTTCCAATTTTAATTCCATAACCTTCGTCATCATAGAATCCACCACCACTAAACAAATTGTATTCTTAAATATATAATTTTACATTTATCGGTTTCCTCCAAATTCGAAGTAAGTATCCCATCTTCCTATTTTTTTACCGTCTCTATAAACACCTTAATACGTGAATTATGAATTCCATGCAAACCCATCACTTAATTCAATCCATTTACCAACCTTTAGTGAATGACCTTCATCATATGATCCTCCACCACTATATTATTTTATATAAACCTTACATTAATTCATTTGTTTTTGAACTCACATCCTTATAGAATGTACCCCATTTGCCAACTTTTACACCATTTTTATATTCACCATCAAAAGTGACTTGAGACCAAGTTTTGAATCCATCACTTGATTCAATCCATCTACCAATCTTGAAGGAACCTCCTTCATCATACAACCCACCACCACTATAAGGTTTCTTTTACAAAAAAATACATCTATTTAAATTCCTCATCAAAGTCCCCTCTAAATAAAATGTCCCATCTGCCAACCTTTTTACCATTCTTGTATTCGCCATTATAAATAATTTGAGATAAATCATAAAAGCTATCGCTTAATTCAATCCATTTTCCAATTTATTTTGACTCCTCTCCATCATAAGACCCACCTCCACTTAAGAAAAGATTATTCGAAATTATTTACATTTATTAAGTTTATTTTGACTTCCTATCCTTATAAGAAATATTCCATCGACCAATTTTTACACCATTTTTATATTCACCTTCATAAATTACTTAAGAATCAACATAAAACCCATCACTTTATTCAGTCCATCTTCCAACCTTAAGCTAGCCTCCTTCAGCATATGATCCACCACCACTTAAAAATAATAATATTTAATCAAAAATTTTACATCTAGTTTTCTAAAAATGAAATCTACCAAATTCCAACTTTTTTGCCATTTTTATATTCTCCCTTATAAGTGACTTCAGATAAGTCATAAAACCCATTACTTAACTCAACCCATTTTCCTATTTTAATTGAGCTTAGTTCATCATATAAGCCACCACCTCTAATAATTTATTCTCAAAATGTTACATTTATTAAAATTATTCCTTCCCTTTCTTCCTATACAAGATGTCCCATCTGCCAATCTTTTATCCATTTTTATATAAGCCACAATCAATTACTTAAGAAAAATCCCAATATCCTTAACTCAACTAAATCCATTTTCCATCCCTTTCTCCTAACTAATTATATTATCCTCCTCCACTAAATATACATTAAATAAGTAATACATTTCTTTATCTACTTAAACATACTTCCATATCCCTTACCTTTAGTCATCAACATAATTCCCCTCTTCATAAATTTAGGCCTTACTAACATTCAGTACAATAAACATTACTTCCAATAATTCTCATTTATTTCTTTCCATTATCCTTATTTTTTTCCTTCCTTAGAGTAACCTCCTCCAACATTTTCTAAAGTCTCCCCATTCCATCTAGTTATCCATTTACCAGATTTTAAGTTATGTTATTCATATTATCCAATCCATTACAAATGTTTTATTTATTCTAAACAGGTCAGAAGATAAGGCTTGTTTGATGAACCAATAATTTTATCACTAATATTCAAAAAGCATAAATACATCCTCAAATAATTTCCTTCCAATATGTATCCAACCTCTTTTTCATTCATTTAAAGAATTTAAAATTTTGTTCTTATTTTTCTTGGTGGATTATAAATATAATCCCAAACGATCCCTTCACACTCTTTGCCAAACTCATAATCATTAAATTTATTCATTGACAATAATAATACTATTTTCAATTAAATTCAATAGTATTTAATAGAAATCGAAAATGTCCTTCTTTTTTGTATTAAAAAAGATCTCGATATATAATTATTTAATTAATTCGCAATAGAAAGTGTTTAAGATTGTTTGTTATTCTAGAGACATGTTATAATATCTCTCTAAATATAAGAATTAATTTATGATTAAAATTAAGGTAGTCTAATTTAATATAAACGATGCCCTCATCACAATTTTAAGACCAAAATGCTAACATTGAAATGTTGAAGTTAAGCACTCTTATCCTCAATTTAGAGCTTATCAAATATTTTAGAAGAATTTTAAAATTTTCATTGTTTAACACAACTAAAATTTTGAATGAAATATAGTATTTTGTATTTAGGTATATAGTTTTTCAGAATTTAAATTAATACAAAGAAATATAAAATAAAGTATTATATCATCTAGCTTTAATATATAATCATTCCTAATTTTAACAACTCTAAACATATATTTGTTGATAAAGTACCCTACTTAATCTACACAGAATTATATTAGAGAAAACCAGTTTAAAAAAATAGTATTGTGATTAATATTTAGATAATTTCCACAAGAAAAGTAAAAAACAAATTAAAGTAGATTTTATTTTAAATAAGTTCAAAGAATCTTTGAGTTCATCACTTAGATTCTCTTAAAAAGATTATAATCTAAAATCCCATATACTTAATTTTAATTAGAGTCAAAATAATTTTATCATCTCTTTCATCATTCATCTCTATAGGGATGACAATATTGTAAATATAATAAATACAGTACTTTTTTTAAATAATTATCATCTTTATTTTNTTATTCCTTCCCTTTCTTCCTATACAAGATGTCCCATCTGCCAATCTTTTATCCATTTTTATATAAGCCACAATCAATTACTTAAGAAAAATCCCAATATCCTTAACTCAACTAAATCCATTTTCCATCCCTTTCTCCTAACTAATTATATTATCCTCCTCCACTAAATATACATTAAATAAGTAATACATTTCTTTATCTACTTAAACATACTTCCATATCCCTTACCTTTAGTCATCAACATAATTCCCCTCTTCATAAATTTAGGCCTTACTAACATTCAGTACAATAAACATTACTTCCAATAATTCTCATTTATTTCTTTCCATTATCCTTATTTTTTTCCTTCCTTAGAGTAACCTCCTCCAACATTTTCTAAAGTCTCCCCATTCCATCTAGTTATCCATTTACCAGATTTTAAGTTATGTTATTCATATTATCCAATCCATTACAAATGTTTTATTTATTCTAAACAGGTCAGAAGATAAGGCTTGTTTGATGAACCAATAATTTTATCACTAATATTCAAAAAGCATAAATACATCCTCAAATAATTTCCTTCCAATATGTATCCAACCTCTTTTTCATTCATTTAAAGAATTTAAAATTTTGTTCTTATTTTTCTTGGTGGATTATAAATATAATCCCAAACGATCCCTTCACACTCTTTGCCAAACTCATAATCATTAAATTTATTCATTGACAATAATAATACTATTTTCAATTAAATTCAATAGTATTTAATAGAAATCGAAAATGTCCTTCTTTTTTGTATTAAAAAAGATCTCGATATATAATTATTTAATTAATTCGCAATAGAAAGTGTTTAAGATTGTTTGTTATTCTAGAGACATGTTATAATATCTCTCTAAATATAAGAATTAATTTATGATTAAAATTAAGGTAGTCTAATTTAATATAAACGATGCCCTCATCACAATTTTAAGACCAAAATGCTAACATTGAAATGTTGAAGTTAAGCACTCTTATCCTCAATTTAGAGCTTATCAAATATTTTAGAAGAATTTTAAAATTTTCATTGTTTAACACAACTAAAATTTTGAATGAAATATAGTATTTTGTATTTAGGTATATAGTTTTTCAGAATTTAAATTAATACAAAGAAATATAAAATAAAGTATTATATCATCTAGCTTTAATATATAATCATTCCTAATTTTAACAACTCTAAACATATATTTGTTGATAAAGTACCCTACTTAATCTACACAGAATTATATTAGAGAAAACCAGTTTAAAAAAATAGTATTGTGATTAATATTTAGATAATTTCCACAAGAAAAGTAAAAAACAAATTAAAGTAGATTTTATTTTAAATAAGTTCAAAGAATCTTTGAGTTCATCACTTAGATTCTCTTAAAAAGATTATAATCTAAAATCCCATATACTTAATTTTAATTAGAGTCAAAATAATTTTATCATCTCTTTCATCCTTCATCTCTATAGGGATGACAATATTGTAAATATAATAAATACAGTACTTTTTTTAAATAATTATCATCTTTATTTTTAAATGAGTGCATTAGATTCGTACTATTAAAAATATATATATGTTGCTGAATAGTTCCAAATAACTTTAAAAAAGAACTCATTCAGATGATGAATAACAATGATCGATATCCTTAAAATTTATACAATTATATATAAACTTAGCTTTGAATCAAATTAAGTGTGTTGAATCGATTGTGCAAATCTCAAATTTTATTGTTTCTATTCTTTTTTCGAAAATAATGTAGAGTACCTTGAAAAATAAATATGATGAGCAGTCTAAATTCTTTTATTATTTACTAAATGATCATTGATTTAGTTTCGCAAACTATTTTAAAGCTAAGAAACTAATTATTGAGGTAGGATGCTTCAAGTTTCTTAATCCTTTAAGCTCTGTTCAAGACGTCAGAAAAAATAAAAAGTACCCCTTTCCCCTTAATTTGGAATCAAAGTATTGGATTTTAAATTAAAGGACAAAAATTATAATGCCCATGGCCTAAAGGATGATGGCTTCATCCATCTTTTAATGATTTTTGATGAGTGCCTTTTACACAAAATATTAATGAATATGAACTAAATTGGAGTCCTTAAAAAGGATATAGAGATTAGGATTAGGTTAGAGATAAATAGAATAATGGAAAGAAATATATTGAAAAAACACAGGGGTAATAAGGAATGAATAAGGTAGAATTTTAGGATGGGGAGAATGAAAGCTCAATATCAATTTCAGAAAATAATAAGAACTATAATCTTCAAACCAATCGGCAACTCATGTGTTAGAAAAATAGGGTGGAAGGTTAAAGGAATAGATAAAAAACGGTGAAAGAATTCTTAGGAGGAATATTAGAGGAAATCTAATAATCCCAATAAGAAGAATTGAGATGTAAAGTGGAGACCAGAGATGAGTTATAGAATTACACTATCAGATTAGGGTGAGGTTAGGTGCCATAGTAGAGTGTAAAATAGGGCTTCTATTACATATTCAAAATCTAGATATTTTTAAATCTACACATCAATGTCCCATTTTAACGACTCATAATTAATCTTTAGTGAAATACTGTTATGAGATTTGAAGGTTATCCAGAGGAAAGCTAACTAAGGCAGGAATGATGACTATTAGGAAAGAGAGAGAGTACCATTGTGAAAGAAATAAGAAGGCTTGCTGAATACATAGAAAGATTATAAACAGGAGAGGAAATGGAGAGTTAAAACTAGGAGGGTTAAAATGAAGAGATGGTAATAACTTTTGAAGGAGAGGGATGTGGGATTATTGGGAATTCCTCTTTTTGTTGGATGGATAGTTTATTGGGATATCAGCAATAAAGGGCATGAAAATGAATGATCTGATGATTTATGGGCATTAAAAAGGAAAACTTGGATATAAACCAACGAAGAGGATGAGGATATAATCCAAGCGTTGTAGGAATTTGCAATGTATAACTTTAGAAATTAGGTTGAATTGATTATGTGCCAAATGTAGAAGTAGTATGCCCATAGTAAGAGATTTTGCTTAGAGTGGTCAAGTTAATTGCTTTTTTTAGATGATTTTGCACAGAAGAATGGTTATATTTTTGAGCTCAATAAATACAACCCAAAATGATGAGGAAATTTTGAAGATGTAGGATTAATTCCATAAATTTGTAAACTCAATTTAATCCATCATTTAGAGTTGTTAGAGACAATTGCAAATATTTAACTACTTCTTTTATGTATTTAATTTACACAGCTGAGGGCCATAATTTAATTATCAATGCAGATTCGAATGAAGATCTCAGATTCATGCAATTTACTTTCTTTAATGATTTTATTGTATGTGATAATGATTTTTTTTTTCCTATATTGCCATAGTTGTCTTCTTTTTAGTAGGCAGGATATTATCACTTTTATCATACTTTCATACATTATTTTGAAATTAGTAATAAATAGAGATTATCCTTGTCCTCCCTGAGTAGATTTCGTATATTACTTTGTCTATTGTGCTTATGAAGCAATAAACTATTAATATATAAACTTCATCAATCAAAATAAATGTCATGTGTCTTTCGAGATTCTAATTTAGTTGTTAATAATTAATGGGTTTATCGATCATACCATCATTGTAGGATTATAAAATATCATAAAATTTCACTAATAGATTTGATAATGCTGTTTTAATTTTGATTAGGGTTTATTTTGTTATTTGATTGAAATTAAAAGTCATTAATCAATAAGAATAATAAAAGACGTTATTGTTATAATGTAATATTAAAATTTAGCCATGTGAAGAATTTGGCTTTAATAAACTTTATTTTTAATATAGACTATTCACATTTTCTTAAATTTCTGCTTTTTAATAATAATAATTAATTACTTGTTATAAAGCTGATTTAGGTTCTTTGAGAAACTAATTAAATTATTACCATAAATTAGTTGCTTCTTCTCTACATTCTTTTCCCGCTTTTCATCAGTAGTATCTTCTGGCCTCATCTGTTTTAAACAACTTCATCACTAGTAGCATAAATTTATAATGGATTTTTCGAGGGAGAAATCAAACTCTAGACTAGTTCTTAGCAAGAAATATTTAGACAACTAAGAACAAGGCCTAATAGTGTTTATGTTTGTATTTGGTTATTTGATTCCAAAGTTTTCATTACAAATTTCAGAGTTTTTATAATATCAAGCTGATTGAGATGATCATAATTCATCCTTCTTAACTTAACAAATTAGATTACGACGTTTGTTTTTTCAAAAATTTTTATCATGCTTGGGAGAACTCCAATTCTATTTTTGAGAATGCCCCAACATATAATCTTACCTTTCTAGTCTTTATTTGGATTGTAGAAGATAATTAAATTCTAAAGGTGTAAAATCTATCTAAAATAATATACTCTTCAAATTAGACAAATATCATAAACCAAACAATCTCTAAGAAAATTATTATTTAATTGTAGCAATCAAAATTGGCATCTTAATTAATTTATACCTCAGTCCAAATAATTTATCAATCTTTACAGTTGCTCTACCTAAAACCAACATAGTGTAAATTTGTGAATGATATTTTTATTAGCAATTGATATGATGATGTTTAAATATTTTCTAAATGAAAATGATCACTAAAATTTAAAAGCATTATCTAGTTAATTAATCTCATTGAAAGCCTTTATCAAATTTAAAGAATCTTCTTTTGACAATACTTTGAATATCCTTATTTACAATTATTAGAGATATAAAAAGTGTTAAATTTAAATCATAACATAAATATGATCTCAATCAAAATCATTGTTATTACCATTATTTCACTATTTATTTTTAACTATTACCAAATCCAACCTTATTGAATAACATATAAGTATTCTTCACATTTCTAAAGGCATTCAATTCATTTGTTTATTATCCATTCTATTTTTAAAATAATTTTTTGAATGCTTCATACATGAGAGAATTTTGATTATTTATACCAAATCAATATTATCAATATTATCAATATCCGTTGCATTAATACATAAGTTTCCTAATTAAAAAACGAATGTATTATTTAATTATATCCCATTAATTAACAAAATTAATCACTAATTAATTAAGAACATTTTTCTTCACTCAAATAAGTATAAGATTCCTAAGAATAATTATTAGACCTTTTATTAATGATACAGAGAATTAAATATAAATGGTGAAAGAATTCTTAATTAAGATGGAGTTTGGACAATTGTTATCGTACACAAATCACTTGGTGCGCCTATTTTATAATAAAAATATTTGGTGCAATTTAATATCATCATATGTTATTTTTAAATATCTTGATATTCAATATTTGATTTGAGATCCATTATTCCTAATCAACAATTTTCCTAAAACTATTTTATGATTTGAAAATCAAAATTTCTATGTTTGCAAAATTCTTGAATGGTTCTGGTTTTGTATCATAAAATGAATTTATTTAAAGTAGAGTCATATTTACATTATAATATCCATCTAGAATCTTACAAAATGATGTACTATCTGATTTATCCTCTCCGCCTAAATATTAACTGAATCTCAAGAGTTGAATTAATTATAATTAGAAATACTATTATAAACTAGTAATAATTATCAGTTAAGATTTTGAGATTTTAGATTGATATATAGATTTAACGTAATAGGAATAAAATTTATTTAATTTCTTTATAACGATAATTAAATTTCATTATTATTAATCTTGCTCTTCATCACTATAACTAAGCTTTTGATTGCCATTATCTATGCATTTGTATTTTAACCAACTACAAAATGAAATTTGGTTACAATCATATTAATTAGAATAGTCTGAGCATTTTTTATCATAACAAAGTTTTCTTTTTTCATCCCAAATACAATATGAATTGGCACATTTACCAGCTTCGTATGCTTATAATTCAACGCATGATGAGTCCCAACATTTTTACTTCTTCCAAGTGCAAGCAACCTAATTTAATGTAGTAAATACAATTTGATGACACCCATCCATTTATAATTCTTCTGTGCATTTTTTTATTAAACAAGAGGATGAGCTGGCTTTCCATTTACAGTTTGCTGCTTAATTGCATGCTGTTTAATTGATCAATTGACTGCACATGTTTTGGCATTTGGAAGGTTCCCAATAATCCCATTCACATCTTTAATCTTGATTACATTATTTTTGATCTGTAATTTCAATACATTGGCTTTAAACACAAGGTAACTAGGCAAGCATCAATAAAAGATATATATTCACGTTAAACACTTTCATTTGAATTATTTATTTATAGTTCTCATTTCAAAGATTTTAGATTTGATTTAAAATTATCTTTGTTTTCACGGTATTAATATTTGATTAAAATTAAAGAATTGAATTTTCATAAAAATTATAAAAGCCATCATTCAAATATAATTCAATTGATTAAACTATTAAAGGCAGACTTATTTATCAATCCTAAAATAATGGCGATTTTGTAATCAGTGATATTGTCAAATATTAAATCATATTAATCCTAAAGAATTATTAATTTCATTTAGATATAAGTATTATTAATTTATGCATTAGGTCTCAGCAATTCCAGTAAAAGATTATACTATTATTATTACTATACTTTTTTTTTGGCCCTCGTTGAAATTAACTATATTCAGAATTGTGTTAGTTTATTCTTTATTTAATAAATACTGTAATTAGAATAAGAACCTTAATAATAATAATGGGTTTATGGATTCTATTCATAAATTTATAAAATATACCATCATTACGATTGACATGAGATATGCCTCAATATTATTTGATTTTTGACCTTATTTATTTTAATATGCAATTCTTAGCAATAAGTGATATACTAACTATATCAAAGTTGTATACTGTTTCAGCGATTTCATTTTACTTATCGATAATTTAATTTATTAGGATTTACTTAGATAGATCTACGAATACAGATAGCAAATGAGCATTGAAAAATTAAATACTTTGGAATATAAATCCTGGAGCAGAAATAAGAAACATGATTTCTTTAAATTATAAATCGATTATGAATAGATATTAGATTCAATTTATCTGAATTAATAAGTATATATTGTTAAAACCAAATTATTTTTGGTTCATCCCATTATTCACAATTATAATACTTCCTCTTATTGTTATTTAAAACTGTTTATTATGATACAATATATATTAGCTAAAGAATAATATAAATAAATACCGTTTTATAAAATAAATGGACTTTAAAGTGGCATTTTAAAGTTAGAAAGAAGGCCATAAACAAATAGACTTATCCTAACTACAAGATGCTAATGTCGCACTATCAGAAGAGAATCCTATTTAATTATCACAGCCCAAATGACCATCCAATATAAAAATTTTGATATTTTATTTCCAGTCTTAAGATTCCATAAATACACAAATTTTTCGCTACTGAAAGCTACTTTATCATTTGTTGGTGAGAAGCACACTGATTTTACCTTTACCATTCCTTAGATTACCGGCTTTATCCTGTTTTCACATCCCAGAAACGAATAGATTTGTCATCACTACAAGAGGCTATTGACTTCCCATCTGGAGAAAAGCAGACAGTGTGGACGCTAGACCCATGACCATTAACCTTATTTAACTCATCTATTTTTATATTCCTCNAACCCAAACCCTTTAGGAATGATACTCCATAGTTTGCTGAGTATATGTATGATGGTTTTTCATTATGCAAATACTGTAACAATTTTGGATACTTTTCTAGCGATCATTCGGTTTAATTGAAGGATGATCTGATTCACTATCTGTAAGATAGTTATTGCTAAACATTAAATGGATTAAGAGAGGATATTGATAGAAACTAAATTTGACAATAAATAGGACATTAAATTTATTGTTTTTAAAACCTTGAATTTTTAAAATTCATTGCAAATTCATCTAATCATGATAAAATTACTGATATTCCATTTAAGATTAAAGCTCATTTTGGAAATTGCTATTATAATATAAAAAGCTTCAAACTATAGGATCTAGTTATCATATTCAAGGCGAAGAATTTTTTCTAAAATTCATTTATTAAGTAGGGTTTTAATATCATAAGCTAATGGAATACTCTCTATTAATAGATTTACTCGATATAGTTATCATCTGATAAGATGCTATGGTTATTGTCTGTAGAAATATCAAAAATATCTCTTTTTTGGTTCGAGAATTTTGTTATCAAACTTCAGTACAATAATAATGTTCTATTTAAAAATTTTACAAATAAGATGGTAATTATGACTTTTTAGCCTTGACATACAATTAATTTGAATTTTGAATAATAACAACAAAATTGATGGTTTATAATAATAATCAATTAAATTTCAATCTTATATCATTTTCTTAGTATTATACAATATATATTAGCTAAAGAATAATATAAATAAATACCGTTTTATAAAATAAATGGACTTTAAAGTGGCATTTTAAAGTTAGAAAGAAGGCCATAAACAAATAGACTTATCCTAACTACAAGATGCTAATGTCGCACTATCAGAAGAGAATCCTATTTAATTATCACAGCCCAAATGACCATCCAATATAAAAATTTTGATATTTTATTTCCAGTCTTAAGATTCCATAAATACACAAATTTTTCGCTACTGAAAGCTACTTTATCATTTGTTGGTGAGAAGCACACTGATTTTACCTTTACCATTCCTTAGATTACCGGCTTTATCCTGTTTTCACATCCCAGAAACGAATAGATTTGTCATCACTACAAGAGGCTATTGACTTCCCATCTGGAGAAAAGCAGACAGTGTGGACGCTAGACCCATGACCATTAACCTTATTTAACTCATCTATTTTTATATTCCTCCATTTAAAATTTAATAATTATGCTTAGTTCAACATTATCAAAATTCTGATCCATTGAAATTACATCTTACAAAAATTCCACCAACCAAAGAAGTATCTCTAATATTATTTTAGGATTGGTAAGTTTTTGCTCTTTATGCACCAAATCTTAAATATAAATGTATAAAATAAATATTGATAATGATCATTTTTTAAGTTGTGTTGATTTAGCTATGTCAAATATTACTTAAGTATTCTGCTCCCCAGTATTTTTTACTAATTTGGAAAACTCAGTGGCTTTATCTACAGAAATAGAGTTTAAGGAATTAGCTAACAAATTAAAAGGAGTATCAAATTCTACTACCTATCCTTCATTTACTACCATAACTTTGTCGTAATCAGCTATTGTGTTCAATCTATGCGCTATAGTTATTAAAGTGCAATCTGAAAACCTATTCTTTAAAGTTTCTTAAATGAATTCATCAGTCTTCATATCAACATTTGCAGTTGCCTCATCCAAAACAATAATTTTTCTTTTCTCTAATATTATTCTGGCCAAACAAATTAATTGTTTTTATCCCACTGAAAAAACTGAATTTGCATCACTCATATCAGTCATAATTCCTTTTGATAAACTTTTGACATGAATTAAGAGATCTGTTTGTTCTAAAGCTTACCATAATTATTCATCTTTGTACTTATCAAATGGATCTAAGTTTCTTCTAATTGTTCCAGTAAATAAAAAAGGAGATTAAGGAATGATTCCAATATTACTACGTAATTTATGCAATCCCAATTTTGTAATATTTAAATCAGAAATTGATATTTTTGATTCTGTATCATTTTCAATTTCTGACATTCTAAATATTGCTTATATGATTGAAGATTTCCCTGCTCCTGTTCTTCCAACACAACCAATCTTCTCTCCACTTTAAATTTCAAATGACAACCCTTTAAGTACTAAATCACAATTTTATCGATATCTCATAAACACATTTTCAAATTTTACTTTTCCATTCTTAGGAAAATTTGAATGTTTAATATCTTCTTCAGTATTGTGAGGAGGTTCTGGAAGAATGTCAATAATCTAAAACATTCTATTGTAGGAGTTAATTTATGTTTCAAATGTAATTAATTATCTTAATCCCCATTGTAAAGAATCATTATATGTAGTCAATATCAATAAACCTTGAGATAATATTGCAATGTTTTCAAAATTTAATTTTAAAAATACAAATATACCAACCGTAGAAGCAATAAATCCAACAACATCTAAATTAAATCCAAAAGATCTTGAAGAATAATAATATGCTAATGCACTTTGATTGCATTTATTAGAGATCTCTAAGAATTGTTGTCTAAACCAATCTTACTATTGATAAACTCTTAGTTGAATAACTCCCCCTAAGGTTTTTTTTAGGAAATCAAATAAAGGGCTTCTTGACATTAATTCAATTTCATTTAATTAACTTATAATTTTTTTAGCATAGCTAAACTAATATACGTCAATAATGATAATAAAAGCAGCCATGATCAAAAAATATGGCTATAGTATTGCTAATGTTATCAAGGCAAATAAGAAATTACCAATAATTTCTAAAACATCCAAGCTCACATAATTTGTTTGATTATCACACAATGATAGATCATTAGAAAATCTATTAAGAATTCTTCCAGATGGATTCACATCAAAATATGAAATTGGTGCTAAAGTTAATGATTTCAACATCTATTGATGTATTTTTTAAGTCGAAGTTTGTACTGAATAAGTGTTTAAAGAATATTTTACCAAATTACAAAGAAAGAGCCCTAAAGTTAACATTCCTAAAATATAGTATGCAGTGTCTATATTATTTTCTTCTTAGTATAATTGAAAAAGTGAGACTACTCTTTAATAGAAGTTAATAATAACTTCTGAGCCTACTTCTAAAAGTAAAATACAAACAATAATGATAATATTCCAAAATTGATAATATCTAAAATATGTTTTCAAAGTAATCAACTATTACTGATCAGCTTCATCTCCAATTAGGTTATTTGCAATTTTATATGATATTTTCTTTCTTTGTTAAAAGGGCTTTTAAATAAATTTTTAATTTTTTTTTTATTCTAGATTGCTATTTAATTATTGTGCAAAATCTTCATTGACCATGTATAAGTTTGACTTAACATCATTATAGCAACCTTAGGCAATTAATTCTCCATCATTTAAAATTGCTATTTTCTCACACTAGACAGCATATTATATTTAATGAGTGACTAAGATTACAATAGGTTACTTTTTTTCTGGGTTTCTCTATACTTAATATTGAAAAATAAATTCCTTGATGGCCATCTGAAAAATATTTTTAGCGACATTAGCATCCACAGCGGATAAAGGGTCATCAAATAAATACAGATCAGCTTGCTGATATAAAGCTCTAGCCAAAGCTATACGAGCTTTCTATCCTCCAGAGAGAGTGATTCCTCTTTCTCCTATCTAAGTATGATCTTAATATTTCATTTAAGATAAATCCTCTTCCAATTAAGAAGCATGCAACACCTTCTGGTACAATGCTTTATCATAAGATCTACCAAATAAAATGTTCCTTCTTATTGTATCAGGAAAGATAAAGGGTTCTTATTCAACATAAGCAATAGATAAAAAACCTTTATTTGCCTCTTATCCATCAATTTTGAATGAGCCCTTATAAGCAGGAATCTCATATAAGAAAGCGCTAAGAAGAGTAGATTTTCCACAACCAACTCTTCCGATAATAGCCCAAGATTCTCCTGCTTAAATATCTAATGTTAAATTTTTAAGAATTGGCTTAGTTGTTTCAGTTACTGAGTTTGTCCAAAATGAAGTGAAATTTTATAGTTGAATTCTTGGGCCGGTGTAGAATTAGCTATTTGTATTGAATTTTGACTTTTAATGGCCTTGGTCAAGGTTTTTCATTTCTTAATTCTCAATATTTAAAATGCTTGCTATTCTTGCAAAAGAAACCTTTATATGAATTAGAGATTAAATTCCATAGGAAACCATAAATACACAACTTACCTTAAAAAATGTCAGTAACTGAATTGTTGAGATCATTTCAGCTACATTCATAGTTTTTCTGAAGCCTCCGTAATACAAAATTACAAAAAAAATAAAGCTAGACCAAATCTAAGAAATTAAACTGAACAATCTATCTAAGGCTGATCGAAAATTGATTTTTAAAAGGCAAATATATTCCTTCTTCCTCATTATAGAAATCATTTTAAAAAAGGCTTGCTCCCAAGCATACATTTTAATTAGTCTTATACCTTCAATAAGCTCATTCGTCAATTTTAATCTTTAATCTTGGTATGGCTTTGAATTTTTTATAGTTTCTGAGTTAAACGATTAGAGAGCTATCTAAATTGGATAGACTAAAAAAATGATAGCAAATGCTATAATTCCAATAGGTCCACTAAATCTATCCCATAATATGAAACATCCAAAAATCATTGAAACAAAACATACACTGCTATAGAATATAGTAATGAAAACATATTCAAGTTAATTAATATCACCAGAAACTAAGTTTAATATTTTACCTATATTGGCTTATACAATAGAATATGCACTTAATTCAGTTAATTTTTAGTAAACTAAATTGATTAGAGTCATTCTTGCTTTTGATGAGAAGATCATTGCAAAATTATAACCATGATGCATTGTTAAGAAACATAAGAGATTTAGAAATACTAACAAAACAGCAAATCCATATGCCATATCTTTTTCATCTTTCTAGGCACTTATTATTACTTTACTCATTACCATTGATACTCCATTTCTGGCAATGGCTTCAATAAAATGGCAGAAAAAACATCCTACACTAAGCCACTTTAATTATCCAAAAAATATTATTCTCACTAAATCACCAAATTTAATTTATTTTTGTTATTTAATTCTATTTTTTGCATCTTACACAGTTTGTTTTAAATCCTCAAAAGTTGATAATTTTGGTAAATGCTTTTCAGCGATTTTGTCTCCTTTGTCCAAAATATTTTTTTTCAGAAATAATGAATATGCTGTTAAATCTAAAAAGGCAAACTTTGAAATAAATGAATAATTTTATCCATGATGGTAAGGATAAAACTAGACTTCTTCTTCTTCCTAAATTGTAATCATAGAAGGCTAATCTTAGACTTCTTATAGATTAAATGGTTGTGATTCTTAATTTGATAAATCCTACTATTCATTCATACCTGTAAGTATTTAATTATTTGTTGCATCTTCTCTTTTATATATCTATCTTTCTAAGCTATCTTGCTAGCTGTTGATGTCTATCATTTAAATACTTTGAAATTCTATAAATTATTATGAATTAAAAAACTTTCAGTGAATAACAATTTAGTTGTTAAAGAATAATCATAAATGGTAATCTTTATTTATACTCTAGCTATAAAAAAGAAGATTCAACTAAAATAAGGTAGATTATATGAGAGAATGTAGTTTTATTACAAAAAGTTTAAAATTGTCAAAATAATAGAATTAGATATCGTAAATAAGTATTTATGATAGCTAATATCAAGGTTGACCGGTGAAAAATCTGCCTATCAATTTTTAAAAACTTTATCAATTTTAGAACTATATGGAATTAACTTTATAATTTTCGAACTTTATTATTCAGTTAATAATAATTTTATAATAGCATTTTGATTTTGGATATTAAGAGTAATCAAGATTGCTCAAAAAAATGTAATAAAATAAAAGTTTAAAAAATTCTACATAAAATGATTTAAATCAAAGAAGCAAAATGATAACGACATTTTGAAATTAAAATGTAACTGATAATATAGATTCAATTCTTATTAAATTGGGATGGTGGAGCATAATAGCCTTAAATTATATTAAAATGAGCCTGTAGTTTAAGTTTACTCTAGCCATGCTAAATTCATCAGATTGGAACGATAATTATTTTTAATTTTTAATTAATATGCTTTAGCTAAATGTTCTCGAGGAAGATTATTTTAAGATGCAACTTTTCAATTCAGACCTAAAGTTTTATCACTTGATTTAAGTTCTTAAGAATATATCGATATAGCTATGAAATATCTTAATTAAAAGTTGTTTTCTAATTATATCACTGCCTATTAATATATCTGAAAAAATAAATTATAGATACAATTGCATGGGATGCCACATTATAAAATAGAATCAAACAACTTCAAAATTCAACATGTCTTATTGTAATTATCAACCATTATCTCACTATAAATTAAGCGGAGTTTTCTATTCTTTAGCAATAAATAGTACTAATTCTTTACTTGTTGTTGCTTCAGATTGTGAAATACAAATTTTTTACTTTAAAATGGGAAATTTGAAGTAACTTTAAGTAATTCAGCTCCAAGCTTACAATATTTACCTGCTTACTTTTTGTAAATAAAAGGCATTTTTTTTATCAGCCTAAAGTGACTCTTCACTTGCCATCTGGAATTCTAATCTCATTTCTAAACCTAAATTTATCTGCAAATTATTTGGGCATTCTAAAGAAATCATTTGCATAGCTCTTCATCCTCTAGCTGAAGAACTGATAGTTACAGGCTCACATGATAGCCTAATAAAATTTTGGTATATACAACAACGGTGGTATTGTAGATAGACAATTTCTAAACACACTGATTCAGTAACCTCTTTAATATTTCACTCAACTGGAAACTAATTAATCTCTTGTAGTAAGGATAAATCAATATTAATTTTTGAAGGATCAAATTAGAAGCTATGGTAAATTAAATAACATATTCAATTGCCAAATTATGGATATCGTTCTTCGTATATATCAAATAATATGTTTATATTTCACCCAAATACTGATTAGGATGATTTTCATCTTCAGATTTTCAAATTAAATCCTTCTCAACAAGAATATGAAGAATTCTTTTAAATACTCATTAAAGGAAAGAAATAATTTTGCTATTATTACTTTCCTTGTACTTACAATAATTCAAAGTGTATATTCCTTACAAAAAACGGATGCTTTATCAATATACTGACGATCATCCCTTCCACAGTTAAGAGCAGGTTTTATTTTTAATTGGATTAAACAATAGAGTTTGAAAATAAATATATTAATGGAATTTTGAGTGATGATGGAGACTTTTTGATAATTTGGGATGAAGAATCAGAATAATTGCAAATAAGATAACTCTAATAACATATCTAAACTAACTTTTTATAGTGATTGTTAACAAATTAATATCAATATATCATACATATTTATTACATTTATTATATTCTTAGATGAGAGATTAATGAGAAAGTTAATCAAATTTAAGTTTGAAATTCAAATCAACCTAAAGGAAGAGGTAATTTAGCTGAGGCTTATAATAATTAATATTGATATATAATCTAATATCAAGTCAATGTTATTTAGAGGCTTTAGGAGTTCGCATATAATTTTTATATGTACTTTTCTTCCATAATAATATCAAATATTTGATCCAGAATTTTTAGATTGATTTAAAAATTGCTGTAATGCTATAATGGATACGGACCCTTGACAGGTTAATCACCTATTCTATTTGTGTATAAGCTATTTGGCATTAATATATAGGAAGGGGATCGCATCAATATTAATGAACTATTTTCGACATTTAAGAAGATACTCTTACTTTAATGATTGTTGATGCTATGCCTTTAAAGATTTCCTAATTGTTTCTAAAATCAAATTCTATAATTACCTGATTGAAATTTCCACAATTTCCAAGGCACATTTTCTTCAAACATATTAAACAAATACATTGCCCAGAAAAAATGGTCTCCATTTTAGAACTTAGTATTGAGCATTTCTTTTTTTAACATTTTGTTAAGAAATGCTTTGCAAAAAATTAGCTAAAATTAATTGATAAGAAATTGATCATTCTCTATTTAAATGAATCCTTAATTTTTAAAATATCATAAGGCAAAACTATATTATTACTAGCTAAATTGACTTTCTTTTCTGTAAATAATTGAAATATTACTTAAGCAAAATAATTTTATTGATGAAATAAAATTATAAGATTTTGCTTAAATTAATTAAGATTTGTTTATTTTAAAAGATAAAGCTAGGCAATTTTCACAATTTTAAATAACGTTTCATTTTCACTTGTTTTTATATTATCAATTAATCTATTATTCAAATTCTGATATAATAATCTCATCAGAGTTACTACCTTTTATAAAAATAAATGTTGGTTCTTTTCAATAAATGTTTTTATGTCACTCAATAATTAGAACATTAAATTGCATAAAATTTAAGACAATATTTCGTCTAGAAATGAGTAAAGGTTAAATTCTGTATCCAAATAATGTTTCTCAAGAATTTATTAATTATGAGAAGACAGCGATTCTATGAAAGCTTCTAAACATATTTCAAATTGTACAATTTCAATGTTCTGAATTTAATATGGATCTGGAAGAATGAAATTATAAGGAGAATAACACAAAGGGCATTAATAGTATTCATCCTTTTGCTTTTAATCAAACATTTATTTTTTTAAACAATTCAAATGGAAGGTATGATTACAATTTGAAACATGGGCAGATAGGATATCAAGATGTGTCTTGGAGGATACTTCAATAATTTTTAATTGTTCCAATATGTTTGAGTACTAGATTAATATTGGCTAATATTGAAGATCATTATTTTCAAATGCTAACTTACATAATTAACAAATTTCATCTGTAACCTTTGATAAATCTTCATTAGTGATTTGGTTAGAGAAATTTACCATCATTAGATTGAATTTTTTTTTTAATTATTCTTTATTGTTTTAGTGATTTTCATTGGATTTAGTTTCAGTTACCTATTGTTCTTTTTAGTTCAAATTCTGAGTGAAACTTAAGTTTTCAAATCTGGAACAATAAACTTGGAAAAATAATTTTTATGTATGATTTACTTTATCCAGCAAAATAAAAACTTAACTGTAGTGTTAAATTTTATCTACTAGATGCTATATTTTGACATTATTGGAACTAAACATTTAATTGGATAAATATAATAAATTAATGTAAATGGCATTCTCTTGTAAAATTTTTAATGTTGCATCCAGTTAATTAATAAGTCCCTTGTTGGATTATAAATTATTCTCTAAATCTTTTACAATTATTTCCAGTAAGTATTAATTCTAATCCTAAGAAATTGCTTTTAGAATTTCATATCTAATATTTGTCAGTGTTGATTTTGGTGTACCATAATATTTCAGTTCATATTCTAATGAGGATCCAAATATCTCAACAAATTTGTCATTCTACATTTGCAATTTATCATTAATCTTCTCTTTGATCTTCTCATTATAGGAAGCATATATAGGTTCATAAATATGCAATTTTAATTCCTTTTTCAACTAAAGCTGTCCATTATCTAAATTAATTTCACAGGAACTCAAAATTAAGGTTTCCAAATCTATTTTATTTTCATAACTGAATTCTTTAAGAAGAGTCCTCATTTCATTTAAGTTATAAAATGTTTAAGAATAGAAAACAGTTTAAAATAATTTTGCCAAACCTTTCTAAAATTATTCATTAAATTGATTTCCAGTAATGCTTCCAACACATTATATTAAATCGTAATCTGTTTAAGCAATTTTACAAATTAAGAAAGATAAATTTATTTTTTATTTTAGGTGTTATTATATTTCAATAAAACCTTAAACAATATGATATATGCCAAACTCTTGAAACAGAAAAGCATAGAGTTATATGTATGCAACATCAACCTATTGAAGAGACACCTCATTTTCTAAATTTTTCCAATAATCTTAATCTCCCTTATAATATTCAAAACACACAGGTGATTAAAAAATGATATAATTTAACAAAGTCCGTTTTAATATTTGATGCATTATTTAATTGAACTAGGTCTTATCTAATCCACTTAACTCTTGGACATTATTATATGCATCTTAAGAATTTGAAAAATTAAGCAAATATATTGACAATACAGTAATAAAATTTCGGTCACTCAAGACTTAATTAAATGCTATTAATTGTATTGGTGATTAGTATTTTAAAACAAAAGAATTTATTAAATTATTAAGGTAATAGTGCAAAATTAATCTTAAAATATTCTAAGCATCAAAGGAATGTAAATGATCAAATATTAATAGGATTTATTTTAAATCATATCTAAAAGAGGATAAAATTTTTTAGGATATAATTACGGAGTAATTAAGACACAATTCTTTTTATTGAACATCTGAGGGATAATATAAAACACAGTTTTTCAATTGCTAACATGGGTGTCTCCTTGTTAATGAATAAATTAATAAAGATTCGTTTAATAGTTTCTAAAATCCAATTGATTTTGGATTTAATAATTGAATTTTAAAAGCACTAAAATCTTCTTAGAGAATCTCTTGAATTTAATTAATTTGCTCATTAATGGCTTTTTCACATTTTGCCATTAATTCTATTCCATAACTATAAGAGTTGCATATTTATAGGGATGGAAAGTCAATCAACGGTCTAAATTAGTATGAATTATTACATTTCCAATATCAAATCTGAAACCACGCTAAATAGCTAATAGTGAATAGGGCTTTGGACAGTTTTGTATAACCTCAACATTTCGATATAACCTCTTTGCATAAATAAAAATAATTTTTGAATAATTGCTCCTTAAATAAGAGAATTCCTAGATTTTATTTCTTCAATTTAGCTACAAGCAAGTATTTTGTCTATTAAATCAGTCAATTTTTAATCCTTGGTATCCTTATATACCTGAAATTTTAATTCTTTATTTTTATTAGTAATTAATTCGTATGAACAAACCAGAGCATAAAAGTTCTTAAAATTTTAAATTACACATGTTGAAAGGCAAATTCTAAAATCATCATCTTAAAAGAAAAGAGGAAAAAATGTTGAAATATCTTATTAAAATTGAAGACAACCTTCCAAACGGGCGTTATATTATAGATATTACTCCAAGAGTGATGTTGATCTAAGTTATTTTTAGTTGATCGATATTTGAAATTCCTGTTTTAAAATTTTACCTGTCAAATAGCCCCATATTATATTATCATTAGTTATTATTTATAAAGTTCTAAATATTAAACTGTGAATTTATTTAGCCTCACTAATAGAATCTTTAATAGAGACTAAATAAATTATATTAGAATCAAAATAAATGTCCAAAATCTCATTGTTTAAAATTTTTATTATATTTTCTATATTCTCCAAAAGATCATGAGGATAATCTTTAAATTTCTCTAATTTTTTATAGAATAATCCAAAAGCATCCATCAGAAATTTTTCGTACTTTTTAAAAACTGGATTATCTATATTTATTTTTATTTTTTACTTTCTATGAATTTATTTTCGACCTTTACATCTTTTTAAAGATGTTTTGGGCACATCGAGTTTCTATCAAGCATAAATGTATCACCGCAATCACAATATCCTTACATTTAAGATGACATTTAAACTATTTGTACAGCATGATCTTTAATAATATTTGAAACTAACTTTTATGAATTTCAGGAATAAAGCATTCCTTGCAAATTATATGGCTAGTATCTTTACTGCAATCAAAGCATTAGTAGGAAAGTTCTAATTCATTAATTCTATTTGCACATAATTTTTTTGTTCCAACATCTCTAAAACACATTATTTCTCTTTAGAATTCATCTTGGGTGATATTTAAGGCTTATGAAATTAATTCTTCATCTTTCAAATCATCAATTTCATTGGAAATTTGTAAAATATGATTCTCTGCATTATTATTATCCATCTTTATTGAATTATTGATTTCTTTTTATATTATTTTTACAAAGTATAGATTTTGTTTACAATTTTTTCTGAAAAAATGTTCTAAGTGAGTTATATTATTCAAGGGCAGGGATGATTAAATTATGAATAAACAGATAAAATAGTTTGATAAGTCAAATTTAAAAAATACTAGTATTTGATCAAAATTTTGGTCATTCTATAACGAATGATTTTGAAGTTTATTAAATACTTTTGTTTTATTATGAATGTATTTTTACTTAAAGGAGGGAAAAATAAAGTGCAAGCATAACTAATTATATTGTAAAAATGATAATTTGAATATTGACTTTTTCAAAATGCAGTTGATTATATATAATAGCGATAATATGCATTTTTAAGTCATCTTAGAATTTTTCAAATCTATATTAGTCTTATATGAAGCTTTATTTTTTTTAATTATATTAACTTTAGTATAATATAATAGTATTTCCATTTAGTACTTATTATTATTCTTAATTAACTATGAATGAGTTAATAATATTATAAAGATAATCATACTCATTAATTCTATAATTACCCTTTATCTTAGAGCATTTAACTCCTCAAAACAGCTTCTACAAATATGTCCTTCAATCTTTTATCCTGGGCTTCTAATATCTTTGATGGCGAACAATCTAAATATTTTAAAATGACTAGTGCATCTAAAGTTCCATTTTTCCAATTGAGATTATTTTCTTCTAAATGAAGTCCTATTTTGCATAGCTTCTCTACAAATTAATTGAAATGGTGATTCTGATGTTCTTTACGGCCATTTTATTGTAATTTTGCAAGTTGAATGGATGCTATTTCTACTTCTTTTTCTAAATCTAAGTGACTAAAAATATTTAAAAATTTTAAGATATTATTTAATCTAATCAACCTTTCATCTAGTCTATTCGCCTTATGATATTCAATATCTTAGTCTAGAGCTTAATTGATAAGTTCAAATGCTTTTTCATTCACTAATGGAATTCCTTCAACAGTTGATTGATCCGTATATACTTTTTGAACTATTTTCATATATTCTTAAGCTCTACTCTCAATAATACCGTCTGTATTCACCAAATAAATTTCAGAAAAAATCTATTGCATAGTTGCCAAATAATAATATGAATTCTAAAAGATTGCTTTCTAATATATTTTTTAATCTTCTTCGAATTCTTAAAGTTCAGATATTTGATCATTACCCTATTATGATTAAGCATTTCTTAATTTTTATTATTAAATTATTTAATGTAATGAAAGCAATTCTTGTCTCAGTTTTATAATTTTTTCTTAAATCTATTTTATTTCTTCTTATTTTTCCTGCCTCTAATCCAATAATTATGTTTATAGCTCTTTTTCAATCCAACTTACATTCTCCTAAATGTTTTTTAAGATTGATTAATCTTATAAATGTTAAGCTAAGGATGAAGTTTCTAATTTTAAGAATTTAATATCATATTAAATTTCTTAGATATCTTTGATTTGTTCTTGATTGAATAAGTTCATTTCTACAGATTAATTCTATTACGTTGCAATCTGAGACACTTCTGTTTTGTTTTGTTAATTTTATTATAAAGAATGCAGTTATTCTAAAACTTGCAATATAAAAGGATTTTCTGGTTACAAATCATTTGCTCTAAGATAATCATTTATTCCTAAGTCATACTAACCAGTATTGATATATATTACTCCTATTTTTGATATATTTATTTTATTACCTCTATTACAATAAGATCTTAGGTCATTTGGATCCAATTTAATAGCCATACTGAAATCAAGGATTGCTTATTCAGTATTTCCCATCTCATTCTATAAGACACCTAAAGGGCTCTTATATTTATTACCTCTATTATAAAAATTAATCGCTTTCAATGGATCTAATTAAATGGCCATGCCGTAATCAACAAGCGCCAATTATTTATTTCCAATTTCAAAATAAATAGATCCTATTCAGATAATTAGATATCTTACCCCTGCTCATATAAGCAAGAGTCTACTTAGAATCCAATTGAATGGACATTGTCAAATCTAAAAGTGCTTATTCTTTATTCCCCAAACTATCTTAGAGTACTCCTAATCAAAATATCAAATTTTGATAACCTCTTCTATAATAAAATTTAGCATTTTTTGAATCCAAATAAATTGCATTGTTGTAATCTATAAGTGCAAATTCTTTATTCCCCAATTCATCATACAATATACCTACTTGTTTATAAGCATTTTTACCTCTGTTAATATAAGCCAAATTATTTAAAGGGTCCAATTCAATAGATTTGTTATAATCAAACAGTGCCTGTTAGTTGTTTCCCAAGAAATTATTTAGAATTCCTATTTCTTAAAATAAAGATACCTCTGTTAATATAAGTTTTAGCATCCATGGGATTTAAAAGTAGTGCTTGATTATAATCGAAAAGTGCCTTTTCTTGACTTCCCATCTCTTTATGCAGAATTCCTATTCATAATAATTTGTTGATCACCTCTGTTATCTCATCATTTGGATTTAATTGAATTACTTTGTCATAATCTAAGAGTGCTTATTCCTTATTTCCCATATCGCTATATAAATTTCCTATATCCTAAAATATCACAATTACCTCTATTATAATAAAATTTTGGATTCCTTTGATCCAAATGAATTGCCTGGTTATAATTTAGGAGTGCCTGCTACAGATTCCTTATATCTTAATAGAGAATTCCTTTCCTCTATAATCAATTTGAATACCCCTGTTATAATAAATTTTAGGATCTGTTGCATCTAATTCAATGGCCTTGTCATAATCTAAAAGTGCATCAACATAATTTTTCATTTCATAATAAGTAACTCCTATTCATTATAACTTATTTTTAACCTCTATTATAATAAAACTTCGAACTTGAAGGATTGTACTGTATAGCTTTATTAAAATCAAAGACTGCCTATTCTTTATTTCCAACATTTTATGAACAATTCCTATTTATAGAGTTCTTAAATAACCTCTGTTACAGTAGGTATTTGCATGAGTAGGATCCAATAGAAGGACCTAGTTATAATCTAAGAGTGCCTATTCTTAATTCCCCATATCATTATTTTGAATTCCTTTTTATTATAATATCATTTACCTCTATGAAAATAAAACTTGGGATCCAAGGGTTCCAATTCTATGGCTTTATCATAATCTAATAGTGCCGATTCATAATTCCCCATATCATGATTTAAAACTCCTATTCAAAATAATAAATTTATTACCTCTGATATAATAAAATTCAGCATTTTCAGGATCAATTTAAATAGCACTCGAATAATCCTCGAGTGCCTATTATTTTTGGCCTATTTGATTGCATAGTTCCCCTATTAAATATATATATAAAGGTACCTCTGTTAATATAGCCAATCTGATCAATAAAATATAAATATTTTAATTTCAATAAATGATTATTATTAAAAAATTAGCATATAAAATGAATGAATTTGTTTTGACTAAATATATAAATTATGTGTAAAGAAAAAACCTTCATTCATCACTAATTTTATCTCAATCACTTGTTTTTGCTTAACAATTATCCAATCTAGAAGTAAAATGCATCTAATCATAAAATACCTCGCATTTAAAAGTTTATAAATATAATAGTAATCAGCAAATTTTTGAGGTTTAATCAATAAAACAATTCGTCATATTGACCTGATATATTTAATAATATAGTATTGATATTTAGTATCTTTTGAACCAATTATTTATAAAACTTGAGTAAGAATAAACTTAACCCAATTTAGAAGATGATGATTATATGATATTTGCATTAAAAAAAAACAAAATCAATACTAAATTCTTCTTTACGCACATTATTAATTCATTTAATTATTACTTTCTTTTTACTAGGTACTTTCATTCCTTCATTTTATTACTTTTAAGGAGTGCAAATGACAACTCCTCAATCACAATTTTTAAAAATGATCTGATTTAATTGGGACATTCTTCCAACTAATTCGGACAAATAATATATTCAAAAAGTTAAAGTCCATAATTAAATAATCAAGAATCTGATTTAGTAGTATATCCCAAGAGCGAAGTATTTGTTTATAATTTTTTATTTAAAATTTCTTTTATTGTTTATAGTTTTAATTAGTTCCAAATAATCATTTGAATGCAAGTACTTTCTGATTTTTTTGATTAAATCTGCTTAATGTTTAATATTTCTCTTGAAATTAATGTTTCTTTTAATCCATTATATTGACTTCATCTAAATTCTGAATATCTTTTAATAGTGTTGGTTTATAGACAACTTAATTGTCTAAGGAACATTTTTTCTAATTTATTGAATTCTGGTATTAATAAATCAACTCTTTATTACTACTTTTTTCAATTTTTTTTTTGTTTAATGCTGACCTAAACAAGTATTACCATCAATACCAAAGAGGTTTCGTGAAAAAATTATATAAATGCTGCTTTATTTAAATCTTTCCCTCTGAAATATTGATAAAATGAAATTCCCTGCTCAATTTTTCTGTTAATTATTATCTAAATACTTATATTTTATTCATCAGGTTGGCTATATAAGCAAAATAACATCTTTCATCAACTTCTATTGCCTTATTGTAGTATTTCAAAGCCTCATGAAATTATCCTTTTGCTAGCATTATCGTGCCTAAATATTTTAAACTCTTTACCTATTCTCATATAAGCTAATCCATAATTAGGATTGATTTGAATCGCTTTTTCACAATCCTCTTATGATTCCTTAAACATTTTCTTTCTTTAAAATACAGTGGCTGAATTAATTAAAACCATTTTACCTCTGTTGTAAAGTGTTACTTCATTAAATGACCCCAATTCAATAGCTTAATTTAAATCATTTAATGCATAATCATTTAAATTTTGTTTTAAGAATAGCTCACCTTAAAATAGAAAAATAATATAACCTCTTATCGTTAATGCTTTGCCATTTGAAGGGAAAAGTTGTAAAAAATCATTTATTATTTATAAGCCATCCTAAGTCGATTACTCTTTGAGCTTAATCTAATAAAAAAAAATATAACTAGAGTTTACAAGGGTTGCTTAATATAATTCTTCAACCTTTTGCTCTTTTAAGCAATGCTTGTGTTCTTTTTATGAGTATTGAGTGTTATTTGATTACATCAAGAATACTTAAATAATATATTTAAATATTTTATAGATGATTTTAATATTAGATATATTTTATGCTATATTTTAAAATCAAACATTGATATTTGTCGATTAATATCAATTTATGTTATGTTTTGTTTGCAAATTAAAAATTCACATTAAAAATAAAATTATTCCATTAAAAGAATTTATTTCTAAATCTTTTTTTGCATTCATTTTTGAACAGTTTTATTTAAATTAATAACTAGGAAGTGCTAAAGAGTACTCAAATTTGAGAAACAGTTACTCCGCATACACATCTAAAATTAGTTAATTAAAAGAGTAAATGATTGTATTTATAGGTGATTGGTTCATATTGAAATTCTTTTTCTACATTCACGTAAAAGACCAAGATATTATGACAAAAATACAATGCCTATCGAATTGTAAACTTGTTTAAAATTTAATTTTAGAATTTTTAAACTTCTTAACCATCTCAATATAATATTCTATAAAACAAGATTTAATACATTATATTTGGGAAAGGGAAATACAATAAATTAGTTTTAATTATAAATAAATTAATCTGAACCATATAGTATATACTTTCAAATATCAATAAATGTAATATGTTTTATTTTTAAGAATAAAAGAATTAAAGCTTATTAATTCAGAGATTTTAATTTGAAAACATCTGATATTTCCTTTGTAATATCAGTTATTTATATTCAAACATGCTTCATACTTCCCGACTATTAAATACGGAGTTTTAGATTCTGATTGTGCAATTAGGACTCTTATTAACAACTTTTTAAGATTAGGATTTCAGATAAATTGTTGAATCAATCAAGTAACTTTTTTATTTCAATTTCAGATTTATTAGCATCTTTGAATTAGTAGATATAAAAATAATCATGAATGTCTATATATTTATGTATATATATTCATTTTTAAATGACTTTCATTTATTTGGATTTTCTCATCCTTTTAGTCCTTTTCCTAATTTTCGGTTCCTTAAGAGCCTTTTTTATCGGTTCCGTTTAAACTTGTGATCATTCTTTTGATCATTTTCTAATTTTACATTTTTTATTTAATATATTGAATGTTTATGATGCATATCTTTTGAATTTGCTAACTAAGCCTAATAGAGTTATAAGTTTCAACATAAAAAAACCCAAATCCTAAGAAAATAAAATTTGTCAGAAATTTAATGAAAAAAACAATATAAGAATGTTTAAATTACATAAAATTACTATTGAGATACAATATAAATCAATTTGAGTAAATTTATATGTTTCTTTATTATTATAATCTCCAACCATTTATTGTACTCTAATTTGATTGAATGGATTTGTAAACTTAAATCTTAAATCTGAAATTTTGATTATACTATTCTCAATTTAATGTTAGGACGAGTTTTCTAAATTTGAATTTCCATGTTCCTTTCTATTATACTTGAAAATAAAACTCTCAAGATTTAAGTGAACTCCTTTCATACATACAAACTCTAATTTATGATAAAATGAAAAATTAAATCTCTAATTGCGTGTAAGAAGAGATTTAAATTTATTAGATCTGAAAATAGATATTCATTTATATTCTATCTCAGCATTTCAGGATTCTTTAATAGTATTTTAAGAAAGAAATTTAAAATTCGATTTCAATAATTACTAAATTTATTTTAATTATACTTTCAAAATTGAAAAATTACAATAATTAGATAATGCACTTATACTATAAATATAAAAATATTAATTACGATTATATTAAAATAATATTATATTTGCAACAAAAATTGATCTTAATGATCTCCACAGTTATCAAATATAATGTTAAAGATTTGAACAATACCTATCATCAAGTACCATAATTAATTTTCTAATTTATTAAAAATTTAATATAGATTCATGATATTGGTAATTTTTTTGTGCACATACTAAACAGCATAATATACCTTCCCAAACACTACACTCTACATGGATCATTTGAGTTTTAAAAAAATCCTCACAATTCATGATTCTGAATTATCTGAGGATAGTTGCTTAACTTTTGGTATATGGTCAAAATATAGCCCATTAAACATATAAAGTTTTAAGAATCAAATTGGAATGTTTCAAAGTAACTGCTTTTAATTAATTAATGTGATGGAATATACTAGTCAGACTTTAAAATTTATTTATTACGTTTGCCTTGACAATTCCACTAAAAGAATTGTCAAGATGATATAGTTTGTAAGTGATGATGATGAATAAATAAAATTTGAGAAGTTTGTAGATCCAATGAAATATGAAAATGTTTGGTACTCATTTTAATTCATATCATGGCCTATATAAAAGAAGCTATAGTTAATCATTATTGAATCAGAGAACAAAATTTTCAATCAAATATTAGAGAATATTGATCTTTTCAAAGAATAGTAACTATTATTAACTTTTGGAGAGAGCTTGGAAGTAATGAATTCGTAAATTGATTAAGTGAAATAAGGAATGTACCTTTCTTTGTTCCCAGGATAAATTGTTATTTATGAACCTTTAATATAATCAATCCCAATATCATTTGATTTTGAAAACTAAATAATTGAAGGATATGAGAATCTAATCTAATGCAATTGCCAAAATAATGAATAAGTAATCATATAAGACAATGACTTAATTACTCTTGATTCAAAGATATATATTTCAGGAAATGCTAGTTGTGATTATTATGCTTTAAGTGGATGGTTAAAAATTGTAAATGCTCTTTAACATGCTCAAGAACTTTCCTATTAATTTATGAAAATGACACCGTATTAAGGATAAACACAACTCTTTATTGAAAATTTGGCAACATTTGAATTGTTCTATTTGATTTCTCCTTTTTAATCAAAAATAGTGATTACAACCTATAATATTAATTTTCCTATCGTGACAAACGAGATTTTGGATAATTCTTAAAAAATAGAGACATAATTTTAGATTTAAACAGATATTATTACTTAATGGCATTATTTATTTTTAGAATTCAAAGATAATCAACTCAATATTAAAATAACGTTTTATGATTATTATTAATATGATATCTAATCTTATGAAGCATAAGTTAAAGTCGTGTAGTTTCATAATTGTTAATATAAATTAATTTATGGTAATATTTTGTCAAATTCATTGAATTACTTGAAAATGGCAATACGAAATTTTCAATTTGTTAATTGCAGGGATGATTAAAGGATGACAAAATGCCATTCGAGTTGTTTAGACTGTGATGGTGCGGGTAAGACACGTTGCTTGTCTTGTTCACTTGAGTCAAAAAGAATATATCTTCCTGAAGTTAAGCAATGCGTTTGTCCAGTTGATACAATAGATTATGAAAATAAATGTATTACTTATTTAGATTTAAATCTAAAGTTAAATATTCTAGTGGATAATTATCAAAAATGCAAAACTGGTTATTTCGAATTAGAAGGAGATTGTATAAAATGGTAGATATAATATTTATAATATTTTTAGTCCTTCTATTGTAAAAACTAATTTTATAACTTGCTTTGAATGCTTCTAAAGAGCGTAGGATTGGGCTTAATATTCCTATTGTTTCACCGTTTTATATTTTCCTCTAGCGTCTTCTACTATTCACTCTTCATTATCTCTCAATATGTTTTACTATTATCACGATGGATCTGACTTAATAAATTGCGACTTTTGCTATTAAGTAAATAAAAATTAGGATTAAGAATTGCAAAATCCAAATGGTGTTTATCAGATGTTTGAAATAAAATCTTAAGGTTTCTAATACTTTTGTTTTTCATAGATCGAAGAAATTGATGATTTAAAATGTACATTTTGTTATATTCCATATTGTGTCCAATGTGGTATTGAAATAGATCAAATGATATGTTTGATTTGTGAATATGACTTAGTCTTTATTAATGGAGTTTGTACAAGGGAAGAATTACCACTTTTATACTAATCTTGTCAACCTCCATATTATGCATCAAATAAAAGGGAGTGTAAGTTATGCACAATAAATAATTGCTTATACTGTTTTGAGTATTATTATTTAGGTGATAATTTAGAATATAGTACTCTTCAATTATATAATATAGAAAGTATAGAAAATTAAATTACATCTATCTTAGTTGGTTGTCTTTTATGTGAAAATGATTATATTTTTGATTTTTCTTTAGGTAAATGCATAAAATAAACTCCAAGAATACAGTATTGTTTAACATCATATGTAAAATCTTTAGAAGAACATTGTATAGTATCAAGCTTGAAGGATTTTCAAGTATCTCGTGTAACTAATGATTGTGATAGTTTTATAGTGAACTGTTCCAAATGCATGTTAAATCTTTAAGAAATTCTTATTTGCATTGAATGCAAAATCGGATATGTGTTACAGGACAGTTAATGTTATATGAATGATGAATTTAGCTCTAATTACCTAAGAGAGCTACAAAGTTTATAGGTTTATGCCTTTTTATTGACTTACAATCCAAAATATTTGATGGAATTTTCGAACACAGAAGATTTTTCATACAAATGTGGTTAGTAATGTTTAAAATGCAAAAATGAAGATGAATAATATTTTTGCGATGAGTGTCAACTTGATTATATGGATGGACCCATTAAAATTTAATAAGGTCTTTACTGCCCTATTTGCCCTCGACTTTGCTAAGTTTGTACGTATCGCTCTAAAGAAGAAATTTAGGTAAAATTAATATATATTAACGTAATTAGTCGATAAATCCATTGTTCATAATTACAGATGAAAACTCTATATATACATAATAGTGTCTTTTACCTATTTCTGATCCTTTAATTTTCCATGATCCTTATATAAAGCAAGCTTAATATTGTTTTGATGGCATCTGTCACAATGAATTTTATTTAGAATATAATGTAAATAATTGCTTTTTCGATAGGTTTCCTAATACTTTAACTTTCTTTTAAATCAACCCAGAATATTACAACCACATTGGTATTAATACTTTTACTTTTAACATATTCTTCGAAGTTTAATTTGAACTTTGCCACTTAATGCGGCAGCTCTAATCTATTTCGTCGTTAAAAAACGAAGTTTTTGCACTCAAAACTATGAATATCAATTTTATATCAGTAAATCCATTCTTTTTTGTTTTATCCAATAAAATCCGACTAATAGATTATGATCATTTCACTTTCATTAATTCCAGTTTTATTTTTTTAGAATAAGTGGAAGAGAATATTTAGATGTTGAATAGCAATAATGATATTGATTTAACAATTATCAATTGTTCAATAGAGAATAGCAGCATCTTTAATGTTACATCTGTATTTTATGCATACCAATTTGGCTCAATCAATATCTAAAATTTTTCAATTAAAAATACAATCATTAAAAATTCTTCCTTGTTTAACTTATAATTATCATAATTTGAAGGATAAATGACTATTACTTCTCTTTTTCTTGAAAATTGCACTTTTATAGATTTATAATTATTTTAATTTTCTAAAATTTCATAAAACATAAAAATCCTAAATTTGACTTTAGATTCATGTGTATTTTAAAATGCTTCTCTTTTTACATTATATATCAACTACATAAAAGAAGCTACATTCGAGCTAAAAAACATAAGGATTTAAAATAATAATTTTCACAACTCATATTTACTCTTTTGCTCTTAAATAATCCATATAGATTTGATCAACATTAATTTCAATTCTAATAGAATGGATGCTTCGATAATATTTGGATTTAGTTATAGTTTATCTGCTTACGATATAAAAATTAAAGAAAATGTAATTATTGGATCCTAATTTTTATAAACAATTGAAGTAACAAATGATAAGAATACTGATTGCTAGATATCTAAACTCATAGTTGAGAAAAACGTTCTTCAAAATACCAATCTGTTTCACATATTTTCAAATTCATATTCAAATAAAATTTAAATTTCTATTACATTTGTACAGATTTAATTAAACCTTAGATCGCTTAATTCAGATTAATAAAGCTAAATATTTAACATAAATAGCAAAAAATTAGATTTAAACAATTTCTTTGTTACTAATAACCAAGAAGTGCGTATATTGAATATTTACGACAGCGAATATATTTAAATTAAAGAGTTAGATTTTTAAAATTCTGTCGTTGAGTAAAAAGTTTCATTTTCAATAAATTAGTTGTAACGATCAAATCTCTAAAATCAACTAATTTTAATTACTGGTTTTGATGATATTATAATTGAAAAGTGCAAATTTATTAAATAATCCACTATTGATGAATCCATTATAGAGATAATATCAAGCAAATCAAAGCAATTAATTGGGTCAATATTCATAAGGGATATTCAATTTTTTGGAAATCTCCTATAATTGCTGAATTAAGTTTAATCCTTTTCACTATTAACAATTCTTTCAGACAGGTAAATTGATGTTATAATGGAAGAGGTTACATATTAACACAATTTTATGCATGTGTATTATGAAAGTGCCTTGAAGTAATCGGCTGCATTATTATACATTATTTCAGCTTAAAGTAATATTTTAGTAAACAACCTGAATTGCAACTAAAATTCCTTGACTAACTCATCCAACTCTTTTATAAGGGTTACATCTAGATAATTGACGCTCAGGAATATATTAGTTAAAAATCATAATATTTTACCTTTTAATACTTGGAAAGAATATTATCCTATTGTTATTACTAATGAATAAGATTAAGAGGAAACTAATATCTTTATAATGCAGATATACCATATTAAAACTATTGGGGGAGCTGCTTAGATTGAGGCTAGTAAATTTGAGTGCTTAAATTGTGCTTTTGAAGAGATATTGGCTGCAAGGAGTTCAGTTTTTGATATTGTAACTTCAAATGAAGGAATTGTTATGATTTCTAATTTCTCTGTTAATTCTACTACATATAGTTTGGTCGAATAAACAGAAGGTTCTGGGAGCATAAGTTTTCATTCATAAAATAGCATTTTGAATCTTTTTATATCATCTGCCAGATTCTCTAATGTTATCAATAGAATGTCAACATCTATTTTCACTATTATTCCATCATTGCTTCAAAACAAAATTATTATCCAAGATATCTAAATTCTAAATTGTATTTCCTTAAAGAATTAAATTGTTCAGATCTAATTCATTAATCAGATTGTTGCCCTAAATTCGATTTCTCTCATGAATGTTAAGATAGTCTAAGATTAAAAAGCATGGACAATTTATTTTTAAATAATCAAATTATTGAGTTTATCTGAAATATTAGAAATTACAGGGGATGAAAATGCGCTAATTTATTTGGAAAATTGCGACATTTATATTTAAAATTTGATTTTTGAAGGAATCCTTTTAGCTCCAGTATTTAAATCAATTAATGTACAAAACTTGCTGTTATTTAATTTTCATTTAGAAAATGTGATTAGTATAACCACTTAAAGTCTCATTTAAATTAATTAAATAGTCTAAAGGACGTCTCTAATTTCTTTAAAATCGCTAAATATTATAGGAGCATAGTTATTTCAGTTAAATCCTTAGCCAATTGTTTATCCTCCTAAATTATTTGCAGACTATGTTATTGTTGCATAATAGATTATGAATAATTCATTCTTAATCGAATAACCGTAAGATTATTTTCATACCAATCTCATTTAACTGTAGTAATCAAACTACTAAAAAAGTTCAGTCATAAGGATAAAAAGTGAATCAAATTTAAGTACTATTATTTTAGATAAGATAAATGTAAAGCATAACCATTTTGAAACAATCTAAAATGGTATTATTTATTTTGATGTCGCTATTTTTGGGAAATTAAGAGTTTATTCTTTAGAATGCATAAGCAATTTTATAAAAGAATATGGATGCCTTCATTTTGTAGGGAATAACTCTGTTACTTCTACAATTAGCATTAAAAATTCTAATTTCATAAATAACAACGGAAGTAAAGGAGTTGCTATTAAAGTTACTGATATATCTATAGAATTAAATAATTGCTAAATTATCTCTAATGTAGCAAGTACTCAAGGTGGGGCTTTGTATTTAAAAATAACTTCCAAAATTTTTAGAATAGTAAAGACTTTTATTATAAATAATCATGCATATGAAGGAGGAGGAATATATTTTGAGAAAGATCATAATTTAAACTCCTCGAACTTTTAGTATTCATATTTGTTGTTCAATTTGGCATCAAATTATGGAAACAATCTTGTTGAAAATCCTACTCATTTAACACTCTTTATTAACTAAAAAGAAATGCCTGCCAAAATATAAGTGAAGGATCGTATCTCCACTAGCTTTTTAAGAATTCTCCCTTACAATATAATAGAGCAAGGAAAATAGTTAGAGGTGAAATAACTGATGATTCCTAGTAATTAATAAATCAATAACTACTAATTATTTATTTTAAAAGGCTCCTTTTATATTAGCTACATAAAAAATATGATTCTATTTTTTAAAAACAGCAAAGGAGAATTACTTTATAATTTAATTAGTTCAACATGTAATGTATCAAGTGTTATTATAAAAAATGATGGTGGAGAAGTAAAAGAACCAACAAAAAGCCTTACCTTAAAATATGAATCTGCAACCAATAACTTTGAATTAGGCTCCCTTGCATTTACTCTAAATCCATTTGAAGAAAATTATAGTCACTTAAAAATTCAAGTTAACTGCAAAACGTCATATTCCGAAAATGAATTCAGATATATTATAAATGCAAAAAGTCTTAAATGTTAATTAGGTGAATTTTTTTTTGAAAACGGATGTTAAATTTGTAGTTCGAGTTAAGGTTTTTACAGTGTTACATACAATTCAATCAAATGCTCCATATTTGATAAATAAAAATTCTAAAATATAACTTCCAACATGATTAATTTATTTCCTGGTTATTGGAGACCAAATTATCTATCTGATTATACTGAATCATGTTATAAAAATTCTTTATTTTGTTAAGGGGGATGGGGAGTTGGAGATGTTTCTTGTTAATTGGGGCATACTGGTGCCTTATGTGAAGTGTGCGATGTATATAATAAGAGAGGGAATGGGTAATTTTTTAAGGATTAATCAAACTTTTCATGTTAATCTTGTTCAAAAAATGATAATATTGTCATTCCTTTATTACTTGCATTGTTTTAGTAAATAATTTTCTTAACCATTTAGGTCATTATTATCAATATCATTATCCTTGAAAAGTATCAATAAATCAAATTAACTCTTTGCTTAACTCAAGATATTTCTTAAGTTTAGTAAAGTAATATTTAAATTGAGTCAAGGTAATAATTTTTTTTAATTTTAGATCATGAAGGAATCTTAGTCAAAATGTTACTTAATTATTTATGGATTTTTTCAGTTATTTTTACCTTTAATATTAGTTTTTCATTCTCCTTCATCTTTATTGAACAATCAAGTAATAGCTTTTACTTTATGGTAAATAATTTAGATTGTTACTTATCAAATCTCCAACCACATTTAATTTATATGAAAATCTTTGTTATTTTATTATTAATGATATTACAATTCAAATTGATACTTGCTTTATCTCTTTTATATCATAATATCATGAATAATTAGATGGATAATAGCTTGCTCTCAAACACATTACTTTATTTGTATGTTTTTAACTATGGAGGATTGATCAAAATGTATAAAATTAATTTAGCATTAGGCTCTGTTCATCCTTATCAGTTAGATAAATATCTAACATCAACTACATATAAGGAGATGTATCCCTTTTATATAATACTGAGGATCATTAATTATGGATATATTTTTTTATTTTGCCATTGCTTATAGTTTTTGGTTGCATCATCCCTTTTTCTTTATTTTTACTAACTTATATTAAAAGAGATATACTTTATAAAATTAAACTCAGAAAACATATATGCTACCTATTTAATGAATACACTGATAATAATTATTTTTGGGAATAGATTAAATTATTATAAAAGGCAATAATAATTTTAATAACTACATATTTTGAAAATAATACACTTTTAAAAACATCATTATTAGGACTTTGTTTACTCTCCTACTAAGTAATAGCCGTTAAGAATAAACCTTATATTATTTCAAAATTTAACAATCTGGATTTGTCGTCAGGATAAATTTGCTCGATAACCATATTTTTGGCAGCAATTAAATATGAGAGTTAAAACTTGAATGAATTTTTTTCGATATTCCTATAAATTTTCATACTCATTTTATTGGTTCGACTATGCTACCCGTTTATATTAAATATTTGTTCAGTTTATTACAAAAAATATAGCTTCTTTATTTTGACAAAGATTCACTAATTTTTGAAATACTTAAAACTAAATAAATATTGTGTTTAAAGTCTTGAGGATTATCTAACAAAAGCGACGGAAAAAAAACAGAAATTAAAAAGGAATTTCCTAAAGCTTAAGTAATTTTTGATTCCCAAATCCAAATCCTATCAATCAAATTAAAGGTTGACATTATTTAACATATTAGAACTACTGTTAGAAGGATTTGCCTTAGATCAACATCATCAAGTGGCCATCAATTAATCGAAGGACTTCAAGAATGATATCAAGAGTGAAACATCAATTTTAATATTTTAATTGAGAATATACATTTTATATTATGTATGGTTAATATTTTTATAATAATTAATCATTTTTATTGAAATTTTTTGGAATAATCAATAATTTTTGTTTAGACAAAATCATTTACACATTATTATTCTTAAATNTGTTATTTTATTATTAATGATATTACAATTCAAATTGATACTTGCTTTATCTCTTTTATATCATAATATCATGAATAATTAGATGGATAATAGCTTGCTCTCAAACACATTACTTTATTTGTATGTTTTTAACTATGGAGGATTGATCAAAATGTATAAAATTAATTTAGCATTAGGCTCTGTTCATCCTTATCAGTTAGATAAATATCTAACATCAACTACATATAAGGAGATGTATCCCTTTTATATAATACTGAGGATCATTAATTATGGATATATTTTTTTATTTTGCCATTGCTTATAGTTTTTGGTTGCATCATCCCTTTTTCTTTATTTTTACTAACTTATATTAAAAGAGATATACTTTATAAAATTAAACTCAGAAAACATATATGCTACCTATTTAATGAATACACTGATAATAATTATTTTTGGGAATAGATTAAATTATTATAAAAGGCAATAATAATTTTAATAACTACATATTTTGAAAATAATACACTTTTAAAAACATCATTATTAGGACTTTGTTTACTCTCCTACTAAGTAATAGCCGTTAAGAATAAACCTTATATTATTTCAAAATTTAACAATCTGGATTTGTCGTCAGGATAAATTTGCTCGATAACCATATTTTTGGCAGCAATTAAATATGAGAGTTAAAACTTGAATGAATTTTTTTCGATATTCCTATAAATTTTCATACTCATTTTATTGGTTCGACTATGCTACCCGTTTATATTAAATATTTGTTCAGTTTATTACAAAAAATATAGCTTCTTTATTTTGACAAAGATTCACTAATTTTTGAAATACTTAAAACTAAATAAATATTGTGTTTAAAGTCTTGAGGATTATCTAACAAAAGCGACGGAAAAAAAACAGAAATTAAAAAGGAATTTCCTAAAGCTTAAGTAATTTTTGATTCCCAAATCCAAATCCTATCAATCAAATTAAAGGTTGACATTATTTAACATATTAGAACTACTGTTAGAAGGATTTGCCTTAGATCAACATCATCAAGTGGCCATCAATTAATCGAAGGACTTCAAGAATGATATCAAGAGTGAAACATCAATTTTAATATTTTAATTGAGAATATACATTTTATATTATGTATGGTTAATATTTTTATAATAATTAATCATTTTTATTGAAATTTTTTGGAATAATCAATAATTTTTGTTTAGACAAAATCATTTACACATTATTATTCTTAAATTTTTTTGAAACATCTTTATCCTAAATTATGAAAAACCCAACTTATTTTTGGAATATTATCAGACTCTAAGAAGAGCATAGGCTTGATATGATAGAAAGGAGAAAATGACAGATCTTTGTCTTTCTCTAGAAGAAATCTAATATTGCATCAACTAAAACTACTCTGACATTAAGTTTTTATTAGCATATCTAAATAATCAGTGAAATTGATTTTAATTGAAGAATTTCTATATATGAGAAAAGGGTTTATAAAAAATCAAAATGATAAGAAGTCTGATCTTTGTATATTTTAGTTCAATAGAGTAATTTAATTTATCGGTTTAAGGGATTTTACGATAGCATAATAAATTGTGCCCTTCTCTTCTGATAGTACCCCGCTAGCATTTGGTTGTTACACTCAATTCGTTTCTGGGATGTTAATAAAGAATAATAAGAATATAGAAAATTGGATGATCATAGGCACGATATCCATCTAGTAGGTTCTTGTTCCAGAAAAATCCATTCTGATCTAGAATGTTGAGTCTTGAATAGTAATTCGGCTCTCAGATAATCTCTAGAAAGTATTCTTATATAAAGTAATGCATGAAATAAAAAACTTCATTTTTTTTTAATTTTTAACAAAATGTAGGTCTAATAATTTCATTTTTTTAAAGAACTCTTAAATAACCATTCTTTCTATATGAAAGCCTCTGAAACCAAATGATTCTACATCCATTGCTTTTATCAGATTGGAAGTAAAAGAGATATCTAATAGATTACTCGTATGGTCTAAATCTAATTCAATTCTAATAAAAATTGTTCTATGATCATCTGCATAATCCCCACAAATTTTCCAAAAATAGACCACAAAGTAGTCATACTATTGTTTCCAAACTTCAACACCATCTAAACTTGAGAGAAAAGTATTCATTATCCCAAGAATCAATCTTAGCCATCAAATATTAGATCTTTATAGTAAAATGTTCTGGAATATTTAGAATAGTCCTACTGATAACTGTATTGGCTCTTGTTTTGTTAAAACCACAAAATAAAGCAACAACTAATTCATATTCATTCTTTGTTACCTCCACATTATGTTGATTCAGGAACTCTTTAAATTGTATTCCAACCATTGGATTATATTTCATTAGGATTTAATTAGGTCCACTAGTAACAAGTGTCAACCAAATTTAACATTAAACATCCTTCTTGGTCCCTTAGCAAACTAAGCATCCATCTGGGAATCTCTCAACAGATAAAATAAAACCTCTCATTCCCAAAGATTCCATACAAAATAATAAAACTCTTTTACATCCGAGGTTGCTTCGTTTAAATTACTTGTGATCACTACAACTGCTGTGAGACCACTATATGCGAGCTCTAAGTTCAAATTATTTGGACCATATTAAAATCTACGCATATCACTTCCATGACCTCCATTGAATGATTTATCCCATACGGACTGATAATCAATAAAAACAAAACCTTTTCATCATCCCAATTATCAAGTCTCTAATATTCATTCATTTTACTTCCAAACCTACACTTTCAAATTTATCTTAAAATGAGGTGGTTTTGTAAAGACCTTATGCTTTTCCTTGATCCAAAAACACTATAACCTCCAAATAATATTATGCCCTAGCAGTCTGTGAATTTTGGCTAATTTCCACTCACAACCAAAAATTATTTAAAAGATTATTATTTTTAATTTTAATTAGATTCAAAATTTATAAAATAAATTCAATTATAAACCTATTGATTCTGGAAGATTACAATATGTTTATAAAACCCTATTATAATGATAATAATGTTCATTTCCTCTTCTTTTAAACCAATAAATAATAGAAGTAATTTGCCTTGTAATAAAAATAATAAACTAATAAAAATATTTCTAGAATAATAATTAAAAGTATCGAAATGTTTATACAAATCATACTATTTTCGTAAAGAAGTTATGATATACTTGTGGTATAATATTAAACTTTAAATTAGCTTATGTCAAAAGATTAACTAAAGAATTGTGGATGAATAGATGTTTAAAGACAGTTAAACAAAGCTTGGAATTTATATAACTTTATTATTGTTTGAGAGATTAATTTATAATAATCCTATTAAGAATGTAACAAAATTAAATATCCAAAGATGTAGTGGAGTGTTGATGTTTAGAAGAAAGTAATTGAGTTGAATAATGATAACAAGGGTTAAAATTTGATAAGAATTTATGTAAAATGTTTGATTTGAAGCGTTAGGAAAATTCAAATTATTCTCCATTTTCCTCTAAATAATGAGGAATTTAGTTTATTATTTCAATGTTCAAAAATTACTATGATAAAAATACATTATGGAGAATGAATATATAAAGTCTGAATTAAAAAATGTTTTTCAATCCATTTATAAATTATTAATGTTAATAATAATCACTTTAACTAGGATTTGAAATAAATTACATTTTCTAGACAGATTCTTGTGTCAAATTTTGCTTTAATTCAAATGGTTTAGATTATAAGGGGTTATGGATATTTCATTTAATTTCAATTCAACCAATATATGGAGTTGTCTTTGTAGAATTAAGTGATCAGAGCAAATAATCTTAAGTTTGGTCCTCAAAGGTTAACAAAAACTAAAAATCATTCAAGGAGACAGAGGATATGTATTTATATATATAATTATTTGGTAACTGATTTATACCTAAATACGTTTAATTGTTGTCAAAATTGGTATTTTTACCAAGCCTCATTCATTCAGATTCATTATTTCAATATACATAACAGATAATTTAATTCCACAAAGATCTTCAGTTGAATAACAGATTGATATAAAATAATACAGAATTTATTTTAAAAGATACAATACCTCCAAAAATCTAAGGGATATAACGATAAACAGTTATTTATTGATTAATATGGGGATTGGTTGGGTTAAATATCATTATAAGAATACTGAAGTTATAAAATATACACTAATTCGAATAGCCAGCTCAAAAATCCAATCACAAATAACAAAAATTATTGTGCATGCTGATGCTTATTTTAAATGAGTATATTAATTATATGCCTGTTTTATAAACTTTTCAATCCTAATATGATTTAATTTATTTTATGGAATTTAGGATGAGAATTATGAGTTACTGTTGTCCACAAAAACTTTATAATTTTGGAGGATATTAGTCTTTAGAAGGATTTTGTCCAAGATGAGTTTGGTTTATATTTAACTGTTTTCAAAGGGCTTTTATGAATTAAAAAATTACCATTATTTAATCATAATTTGTCCCATCTTTACAAAATCTAAAATAACGAGGACATATGTATTAATTTTCTATTGGTATTTTTAAAAATTAAACTGAGGAATAACATTCATTTGTGCAAATTCCTTATCCAAAATTGAAATATCCTGACTAAAATTTACACATAGATACTTCGCTTTAAAAATATCTATGTATTTTTTCATCTAAGCTAATACAATCATTATTTTATGGTCCTTTACATGTTAAACAAGAATTATGGCAATCTGTATAATTAATAAATATTTATTTTAAGAGTAGTTCTTTTTCTTCTTTCTAATTATATTGAAATTTAAAGTCATAAACATCAACTTATAAAAAATTGTGATTAAAATTGTCTCCACCTAAAAAATATTAAATTTGCTATATACAAATGAATCTCAAAATAAATCATTCCCATGCTATTATATTAACAAAATTTATGTGCATGGTACTTGAAACGGTATCTATTGATTTGTAGGGAGAAGTGGTTTATCATTTAGAATTTGATGATTATTTTTACTAAAACTGTTTTTGATTATAACAAATGTTTCACTTCCTCTTTATCATTTTTAGGGAGTATTGCATCAATGAAATGAAAAATACTTAAGTGAAATATAACTGATTCTAAATTTTGAAAAGGTCCTTCACTTAGAGATTAGTAACATTCAAATGATTTAATCGACTTTGACTAACACAACACTGATTATATTGAATCGTTCTTTAGAGAATCTAAAATTTTAAGACATCCAATTTTTCAATCAATCATTTGGCATAAAGAATTATTATAATTTCTTTGTATAATACAGATATTTTTTAATAATATATATGTCTTACCATTAGTTATTTAAAATATATCAAGAATTATTATTTTACAAAAAAATTCATTATATTAATATAGAAAGCAAGTTGATTTTTCTTTGATAGCCATTCAATATGATTATGTAAAGATCTCTAATTTCAATATTGATCGCGATTTTGGTCTCTATGACATTGAACTTTATGATTGTTTGAAAGTTATCATTCAAAATGGCATATTTTAACAATAATAATACAGATATTGAGGATTGCAACAATATATATGAAATTGAAATGGTGAAACAGATCATTTTCTATTTTAACACAAATCTCTTTTGTATCTAGAATTTGGATCACTAATTTAAATACCCGAAGATAAGTAACCTAATTTTGGAATCATTTTTGAATTTAAAATCAACCGACATTCACCTACCTATCATAAATTTACATATATAATTCCTTGAGCAATAATATAATATCGATATTTTCATTTACAAGTAAATCAAATTAAAATTATTTTAGCTACAAAATAGGAATGGACTCTCTAGAATTCTGTATTCAGTCCATTTAGATTGGATTTAATTTCACTAATGATATTGATCCATCTACCTTTTTAAATTAAAATTCATCGTTAAATGATACCATATATTAATGTATAAATTTTTTAACATCAGCTCTATTTTACTGGATAAAGATGAATCCTCAGAATATTACAAAGGTGCTTAAACATTATACAATCAGAGAAAGATCATAGGGGCTTCTCAATTAATAAGAACTTTATTCTTTAAATTATGAATTAAATATAAGACATTATATTTGTTAGTATAACATTGCTACATTAAGGAACTCATTATTATCACTGTTATAAAATTATCTATTCTAATTCAATGTTGCTGCTTAAGAATGAGGTTCTATTTATATAGAAGAAAATTAAAAATATAATTATTGATGATAGTGTTATTCAATTCAACAAGGGAATGATTGGTGGAGGATTGTATTAATGAAATCTATAAAAAATAAGTTAATAAAATTGAATACTAGGCTGGAACTAATTTCTTGAATAAGAAATCAAAAATTATAAAAATTCAGCAGAAATGTCTTGTAAATCAAATCCTCAATATTTAACAGTAACAATAAGAAAGATTAGAAAGTCTTATCTACATTAACGAAAATTTCAAATTCTAATTTATAAATATAAGAAATATAAAGTTTTTGATTGGAAATAAAAACTGTCTGGATGGGGATCTAAATGGTGTTTAAAATTTAGAGAATACAGAATGTATTATAGAGAGTAGAAGGTTTGATGAATCAAAGTAAGAAGATTAAAAGTTGACAAGTAATTCTACTAATTTTCAATGAATAAGTTTTGATTCAGTAAAATAAAGTAATAATCGATAATTTAGTATAATTAGCCTATCAATTATAGATCATAAAATTTACTTTAATTAATAAAGATTCAATTATTTTCATTCAATTCTTTCTATGATATATTTGAAATACATAAGCAGACCCTCACACATTTTTGATTTAAAATAATATCACAATGATACATGATCTATCCTTTGTAAATTGCTTAATGTTGTTGATAAAATCGCATTTTCAAGCGAATAAATCAGAACGAAGCTCTCCTTTTGACAATCATATTTAAAAATATGATTTTAAATGAAGAAGGAAGAATTTCATATTAAGATCCATGAAGAGAGCAGAAGCAATGAAGATACCATGAAATCGCAAAATAGGCAATTCACTCAACCTTAAATTCATATTTTCAATTCCATCCTCACTACCTTCACTAACAGCGACATTTAATAATATGGCTGAGTTGATTGGATATTGAACTCCAAAGATACTCCCTAGTTCTTCATATATTCATGATATCTACACAGTTTTATTATCAATTTCTTCAGTTAATAAACTGCATTTCTTTAAATTTCCTTCTATATTGATATTAACACATTCAAATGAATAGAATTTTTCATCGGGGACCTTTTCTTAGCAGTATGGAATTAAAAACATATCTATTAAATATTTTTGAACTGAATCCTTGTAATCATGATAGAGATTATTATAAAGATGATTCTATAGATTATATTCTTGTATGAATCCTGATTTATTTCAAGGAGAGTCAAATTCCGCTTACTTACTCAAAGAAACATCTTTCAATCAGGTATTGGCATTACTATTTCTCATGTCAAATTAAAAGAATATACTTCAAGAATTCTTGAAATTCCTGGTTTGTCACCACAAATAATTGTACATTAATTTACATATAATTGATAATATTGTTATTAAATTATTGCTAATACAGTAATTCTATTATTCGATTTAGGATAGATTTACTCTTGTTGACAACAATTTCATCAAACATCAATTTAGAGTACAAAATTCAATTTTATTTTTTTTCCAAAGGCCATACTATTTGAACCAAGGTTGAAATATTTTAAATCATTTTTATTTTAAATAATTCAACTATTAACGTTTTTGGCACCTTAAACACTTTTATTGTTGCCAGTTTTTCAGGAGATTTTGTTGTTAAATTCTGTATGAATGTAATCATTCTTATAACTCAATTAGTTATATCACAATATTACCAGAATATATTAGTTCTGGTAATTGAACAGCAAGGCCAATCATTTTAGTTTATTGAATGTTTGAAGAATAATTAATAGAATTATTGATTGTCTAAGGAAAAATACTGTTTAGCAATCTTTTAATAAATGAATTAAAGGAAAGGAGAATTGCAGAAAACAATGAAGAAAATAATGCTGTCACAATAAAGACTTTTAAAAAGCATAAGAAATACATAAAATAAACAGAAAATTAGTCACTTCAACATGTTTATAAATCTTGCATACCAATTTATTTAATAATTATAGTTTAATTAATTATAAAATTTGTTCTAGCGGCAAAAAAGGTTATTTAATTGGAGTTCATTCTTCAAATAATGATTCTATAAATTGTGAGTTTAATTAAGACGCTAATAGGGAGCTTGGTGTAAAAGTCTGGTCTAATTAAATTTTGAGCTTAGAAGAAGGTGCTATTTATATGAAAAGTGATTTGATGCTAATGTTATTCAATTCAAAAAAGGGATTTGTTTGTCAAGGATTAATGAAAATAAGCAAAAAATTGATTTCAATTAAGGAGAAACAAATATTTTGAAAATTAGAGCTCTAATAAAATCTTAATATTTAAACATACACCAAAATTATTTGAGAGAAATTAACGAAGGGGGTTAAATTCATCTATAGAGAAATAATTATCCTTTCGCTTGTTTATTATGAATACACCATTGTTTTGAAAGGAATGGCTGTTTGTGTCATCTTAAGAAAATCTTAGAACACCAATTTTAAATTTATCAAATAATCTTCTAAAGTTACAAATAAATTATCTTTTTCTCTACAAAGCAATCACCCATTGTTATAGACGAGCATCTTTGAATTAATAACTTTTTAATTATTTTAATTTAAAACAAATAATTATTCTATTGATTTATTTGAAATTAAAAAAAGCTTTGCATTGAATTTTGATATTAATATCATAAATCCTCCTCTGGTTTATACATTGTATTTTTATCCAATAGACTTAAATATGGAATAAATTATATATTTAAAATTAGAATTATGCATAATCAAATCATACTTCCTAATATTCTGAAATTTTCAATGTGACTCAGAAAATGCCTATCAGCATCATCACTAATTCTATGTCCAATCGATTGATCAAATTTATATGTTTTAAACTCTTTAAAAAATATTTGTTCTTATTTGCAATGAAATTCAGAATTATCAATTGATATTTTCCAATTTGATTTTTGATATCTATAACTTGATCTTTTTGATCTTGGAAATTGATACTGAGCCCATTCTTTAAGAAGTTGTTCTAATGATTGCGATTTAGATCCTTTTATATAGTCATCCGAATAAATGAAAAAATCTTTCTTTTAACTCAATAGCTTTACTCTTTGTTCCCATCCTTCTTATTTTAAATTTATTTCTTTGGTTATTAAAAATTCATAATATTTGGATTAATAGGGATTAAATGAGATCAATAGCGAGTTAAATTTAAAAAATAACCGCTTTTCTTAGTAAATTTACAATAAATGTTCTTATATGGAATTAATAAACCTAGTAAACAGATCATAAAACTTTTCAAATCCAATCTTATATGTTTTTAAATCGATTTCTTCTGTTAGATATTCAAAGGTGTTTATTTAATTTTAAACTTCATTTAATTCTTGCTCATGTTCCTTTAGAATCTTTTCAATAATACTACTACTCTTTGCACCATTCTTTATTTTGTAAATATATTCATTCCATAAATGGTTCCATTATTTGCTATTCTTATCAATTTATTAATAGATTTGATTTTCTCTTTTTTCAATATTAAAGTTGAATTCACGTAAACCAAAGGTTTCTCTTTTGTATAACTCTTTAAATTAGTTCTGCAGTTCTTATTTTAAATCAGCAAATTCCAATTAACTTTAAATAAAAGGGGTACTGAGATAATTTAAGAATTACACATAATAATTCCTTATCAAGTTAAGCTTATTCATGTTTAATTTATTTTATAAATAATTTTTAAGAATCTACTAAAAACTATTCTTCCCCATATTCCAGAGGTATTCATTCTCTTTTGACAAGCGTTCCATAAATAACGCACTTGTATTAAATTTTAAATACCAAGAATTATTCATGGTTGGTATCATCTTTTTAACAGGAGAAGACATTCCATTTATTAATTCAGTACTCAATTATAAAACATCTCTCTATTTAGGAAAATCATCTGAGCAATCTGGAAATATAAAGACTATATTATTTATTAAACAATTCGAAAAGTTACTCAAAATGGATTCTAACATAAAAAATGAGCCTATTTATACTAATTATGGGATTACAAAACTAATTAAAATATTTTGATTAAGTGAAACTGAATTCTAAATAACATTATAAATTCTATTGAATATTTGTTGATCATTAAAAGTGAGATCATCGCTGTAATCTGGTGTATTTATAATTCTAAGTCCTGATTTACCATATTAAGGAGGAATATAATATACTCTCATTTGCTAGTATTCGTTGTTTTAGTCTTCTTTAACTAAATCAATATCATCATCTACAATTTCAAATCTATAAGGATCTTAAAATTCAACTTCTAAATAAAAATTTATGATTAAGCTTATTAATTCTTATTTTTTTGAAGATTAAGTTCCAACTAGAATTAAGGTTTGGAATTATTGTATATTTTCAATCGATGATTTATAATTAATTGGGTATTGATGAACATCAAAGTCATTCTCCTTCCTTAATTTCTAAGTTTTTTCAAGCAAATCCTTGTATTTGTACTTTTTCATTTTTTGTGTTTTTAGTATATCCAATTAATTTCTAAATTGTCCTTGCTATTCTAATTACTTCAAATCTTTTTAAACTCTTGATTAAAATGTATTATTTGATTAATTCTAATTTGAATATTTTTCATAGTCTCTATCTTTAAACTAATTATTAACTGTCGAAAACAGCTACATCATCGATTCCATTTATGTTGCTAGATTTGAAATTATCTCATTCAAAAGTAATGTCATTTGCGAGAGTTTTAATAAACTAGACATATATCTTTCAAACTCATCATTAATTATTCCCATTTAGGATTTTTCAATCTCTATAGATAAATATTTTTATGTTTTTTTTATTTGATCAACAAACTGATTCATCTATTGCTAATATAGATTATAGTATGAGAAAATATCCTTTTTCCACATTGAGATTTCTTTGAAGGTCTTGAGTTCTTGTTTATGTTAGCTATGATTTTCTACACAATTTAGACAACAAGCCCTTTTCAACTGACAATTAATATTAAAACAAACTAATATTATCTCTTTTTGATTATGTTCTGATTCTTCACACAATAACATATATTATTAATATATTTATTAATAATATTCCATAAAATTGTAAATTAATATATATTTAATTGTGATCTCTAAATGTCAATTTTTTTAAACTGAACAATGTTTCATCAAACCATCAAAAAAACTAGATCATGCAAATATCATTATAAATTAGGTTTTATTTTATCAAATGCTTAAAAATGTTTACAACAATCATAATTTTTAAATACTTAAGAAGAAGGTTTTTAATATAGAGTTATTAATTAAAGAATAGTACTTGAGAAGATTTCATCTCAAAAGCAAGAGAAATTAGAATTTGTATTTTAATTGGATCATTGATTGATGAGACAAAAGGAAAGGTTTCATGTCAACTAGTCTTTTTCTGCTTCCCTTAAATCTTATTTATTTATAAAAGCCTAACAGGATTAATCATATGGAATTATAAATTGAATGAATTTAGAGGGATTAAGTTTAAGGTTGAGCTAAGATCCATAATCACAAACTCAAACCTGATTCAATTGGTAATTAGATGTTATATGACGTTGTTTGAAGCCAAATTATTGCCAACGTTATGTTATTCCATCAGGATTGAAGACATTGAGTAATAATTGATAATGTGTGATATAATTACAGGATACAATTGGGAATGAATATCTATGAAGTGTGATTATTTTTCAAAATAATATCAATTAAAATATTTTCGAAATATAAATGGATCAATAGGATGATAACAATAAAATATAATTTAGAGATAAATATGTTCTTCTAAACGACACAAACGTTAGTTATGGTGAAGGCTGTTTCGGCTAAATTCATTCTTGTAAAAGGAAAGATGATGACACGAACACTGCATTATGTGTAAAGATAATTCCAATTCGTATTGATTAAGAGAGAATAGTTGAAAATGAAAAAATAATCAGATGTACTATAGATTTGTTAACCTCAAATCAGCAATAATATGTGAATATCATAAAAATATTCGATATCTACTTTGATTCATATGCTTTATATATTGTAATGGAAAAATGCGATGAGGACTTATCTATTGAGTTTGATAAAATGATGGAAGAAAATGATTGGTATGCCGAAGAAGAAGTGTTTGATATATTATAGTAAATTATTGAAGGTATAAAATATCTCCATTCAAACAATATTTTGCATCTTGATGTAAAACCAGAGAATATTTTAATAAAATATTAAATCGATGAAAGAAAGATATACAAGGTAATTTAACAATTCTTAATTAGATTAGTGATTTTGGAATTTGTGATTTGATTAATAAGCTAACATAAAGAAATGAAGTCATTAGAACAGGATCTCCTAATTATACAGCACCTCAAATCTTCGAAAGTAGTGTGATATAATCTTAAAAATGTGATATATTTTCATTTGGAATACTCTTTTATTAGATTTGTTATAAAACTGAATTGCCTTATGACTGCCGTTCAATGTAGATTAGATATTAAAGCTTATAAAATCTGAAGTAAAACCCTCTTAAAACTCAACCTCTTGACTATAAAAGATAGGATATATTACGAAATCTTATATAAAGTATGATAGTCTATGATGAGGAGAAAAGAATTTCATTTTAAGGTCTTTTTAATCATGTTGTCGCGATTAATAAATACTAATAAGATACTGACTCTTTAACATCTGATAATACAGAGACCTCACGTTCAAAATAATTTGATAGATCAATAAATTTTTAAAACAAAACTAAAAATTAAGTTTTATCCATTTTAGAAAGATTATAATTATTGTTAAATTCATTTCTAGAAAAGTTCAATATCTGTTGTTAATTAATAGAATAATTGAGCGATGAGGATGATATTTTAATGGTTAAATTGAATATTTATTTAATAGCCAATCTTCAGTTACTCTACGCACTTGCTTTTATTTATATAAGACCATTAGAAATGCATCCTAGTATTTTAAAATATAATGATAAATTGATGCTCATAGAGAAATTGCGTTAAGTAAAAAAAGGAATTTAAATGTATCAAATAGAAGCTTAAGAATTTTAATAACTGGCAGATTATATTCAATCTGAATATCATAAATTTAAAGATAAATTTATTAAGTTCACTTTGTAGTTTGAGTTGAAAAAAGCGCTTCCTAATGAATTAATATAGTTTCTTTAATAAGCCAAAGCTAGTAGAATTGAATTAAAAGTATTAATCTAAAACATTAAAAATTACTAATAAACTCATTTAAATAGTTTCCCATATAATTTACAATAGTTTTTAGACTAAATAATCAAATTTGAAAGTTTAGTCCCAGTCAATCTTTAGTACAAAAATTCAGCTCCTCAGTCTCAGATATCCCAATAAATTGGATAAATTTGATTATTGTTAATTAAAATTTAAAATTTTAATTTGAAAATATTACACCTTCGAAATATATAAATATAAGTCTATATTGGATTGAGAGACAAATTGTCGTTATTCTCTGTTAATTTTGGGTTCTCAACAACAATTATTTTTGAATTAAGAATAAATTGGGAATTTTAGAATATTTTAGGTCATTTCTTTGCAATTTTTGATAAATATTGAATATTTATTTATAATTGATGATGAATTCTTTGAAGAACACCATTGAGAAAATTATAAATTTGATATCATATGAATATAATTCAGATTTAAGCATAATAGTGAAAAAGTTCATCTAATTTTTAATGTTAAATAAAAAAGTAGATTAGTTAATTCAAAGGTTGAATTGTTTGATTTCTAATATATTAGGCAATGTTTCTAAAATGAATATTCTTGAAAAAATCATAATTGGCTCCAAAATGACATAAAATAAAAATAATGAGCTAATAAAACAAAGAGAAACTTTAATATTGATTATTTGAATATCCCTTTAACTAAAAGGATAAAATTATATTTACCATCTCTTCAATAATAAAATAATCTCAAGATAACATATGAGATGTGTTGCTAGATATATGGTTATTATAGAAAGACTCCATTTCCCACAAAATCTGTAAATAGCCTAAAATATTTTAAGAATCATTCTCATCAGTAAGAATGTTCCGCAATTAAGAAATACAATTGCAAATAATGGAATTTGATCCAATAAGCTTATTTACAAAAATGAAAACAGAATGAAAAGGCTAATTTTTATTGATAGTTGTAGAAACCGATAACTTTTTGTAAGTGCATAGCTTTCTGTGTAAAAGCATGATAATACTTCATGAATAAACTAGATTTTAACAATACTTTTTACTTAGAAGGATAGTTTGAAAATAGCAAAATTTCCTGGATAAAAGTTGATTGCCTTAGATTTTGTTTATTTCAAAACTTCGTCTAGATTGTTATCTGATTCTATTCTACTTTGAACTGGTAATGATTTAGATTTCATTTCAATTGAGATCAGTTCAAAATAGATGAAGAGAGTAAAAGCAAAGAATATACCATGAAATAGCAAAATAGGCTATTCACTCAACCTTAAATTCATATTTTCAATTCCATCCTCACCTTCTTCACTTATAGTGACATTTAATAATATGGCTGAGTTGTTTGGATATTGAACTACAAAGATACTTCCTAGTTCTTCACATATGCATGAGATCTACACAGTGTTATTATCAATTTCTTCAGTTAATAAACTGCATTTCTTTAAATTTCCTTCTTTATTGATATTAACACATTCAAATGAATATAATTTTTCATCGGGGACCTTTTCTTAGCAGTATGGAATTAAAAACATATCTATTAAATATTTTTGAACTGAATCCTTGTAATCATGATAGAGATTATTATAAAGATGATTCTATAGATTATATTCTTGTATGAATCCTGATTTATTTCAAGGAGAGTCAAATTATAGAATTCTTGCAATTATTTGCATAATTGTAGAGATAGATTCAAATGGTTATAATTTAATTCTATTTGTTCTTTTTGAACATAATCAATCAAACCATCTAGGAGATCTCTTTCAATATTAAATTATTTATTTAACATTTCTTTAGTTATTTTGGATAATTACCATTTTAGAATTTGTCCATTGTTAATTAATTGAAGACCATTTACTTATACTTAAACGTTAACATACATTGAAATCTTTTCAATAAGGTTGATTAATCCCTCTGCTATATTAATAATCTATTCCTGATCTTAATTGGAATTAATGGTGGCCTCTGGAATCTTAAGAAAAATGTCATCAATTAGCAGTTGTACAACTATTAAAGAGTCTAAAATAGCTATTTTTCCTTAATAAAGTTGTTCATCTAAAAACACTTCATTTTAACTAATTTAATCATTAATATCAGTTAACTTTGCTATCAAATTAAGGGTAACTTTTGTAATTTATTGTAATTCTGCTTACAAGCTTGCTGAAGTGACAGTTGATGATGCATTAGCACGAGTACTTTGGACATAATATGTTTTTGTATAATTTTGAAAGCAATTCTCTGAACTTTCTATTAATAATCTCATTGGATTAGTGGAATTATTGTTATCTTGGATCGCTCTTTTATACAATTTGGTGGTTTGATACACTAGAAATCGGTCGTCAGAATTCAAATATGTTTTTATATTTGAATATAACTATTTGGAAAGATTAATACAATTTGATTAATCATAATGATTCAATACAATTTCCAATAATAGTATAATTTGGTATCTTAAATTATATTATGTTAAATTTATAGAGGAACAATTAAGCACAGTTTTGGTTACATTTAACTGTTTTTGAATATTTGAGTATGATCCCTTGGAATCCATTGCTTAAATTAGAAGAATTCCATCAGAAAATGGAAAATAGGCTTCAATAGTGTTCACACTTGAATAACTACTCAAAATCAAGGAATAATCATTTGTTCTATTTAAAAAATCAGTTAAATCCTATTTTTTAAGAAAATATCTCAATTAGTATGTGAATGGAGCTGTTTCAGAAAATTCACAAATTGTAATAATTTATTAAGGTTTCAATGCTTGAACTATATTTGAACCTAGGCTCACGACACAAGTAGGAGGTAAATTAACAGTTATTAATAAATCATCTTGATTTGGCATAATCTCATTGCTAAATTAAGCCAAAAATTTCAAATTGATTGTATTTCCTTTTGTAAATTCTTGATAGTAATCAAAGGTATGAAATGATTATTTAAAGTATTCGGATTGTAATATCTTTATAACTTCAAAATTGTAAATAATAACCAATTAATAATCTATAAGATACTACCTATCTTGAAAAGGAATATTAATAGTGAACTCCAAATTTTCATAGTTATTAACAGGTCTCATTAAATACCCTTTACTATAAGTAACATTCAATATTTTAAAATCATTATCTAAAAAGACGATATTTTATTTAAATTTATATGTTCGTGAACTTTTTTTAGCCACTACTGTCCAACTCTAAATAGTATATGGCTGTATTAAGTATTTGGGAATGGTTTGAACAATATCAGTATTGTTGACTTTGATCACTTTTTTATTTACATCCGTACAGAGAGAATTCATAGTTAAGTCAAGGCAGTGAACATCAATATCTATACTAGAATCTTCATTCCAGTCATATTAAGCATCTAAATCTTTACATGATATAAATATTTAAGTTTCTTTTCTATAATTCTGAATCTTTTTTGTGCCATTGAATTAACAAAGGATACCTCCTGAGCTAATATCAATCGTAATATTTCTTTTAGATGTAAAATTCAGTACTGCGTCTTGAGTTGCTTATTCAAAAGTATATGCAATCATTGAAGTCAAAGTGTATTTTGGAATAGTAACATTAAAACTACTTCCACTTGTGATTTCTGAATAATTTACTCTTGAGGATCTAGAGTTGGAACTGTTCCTATAGACTTCAACTACCGATAAGGTATACGAAGAATTATCAAATTATGTAACGTTTGAATCAGAACAAGCCTTCTTTTTAATTTTGAATTCCAAAACAATGGCTTCAAAAGTATAATAAGTAGGTTTGGAAACCCAAAGGACAGTGGGAAATTAACCAGAATGGGTTTCCAATCTAATTTGCTATACACTTTTTAGTGCAACAAAATTTTGAAATTCCAATTCGAAAGTAATATTGGACTGTTTAGGTAGAGTTTTGGTTGGGATAACTAATTCTAACATCTAGAATTTAGTTAATGAATCAACAAAGTTGTCAATGTCTCCTTTGCCATTTGTTCCACTTACAGTGTAAGTCCATTTTATTTCAATGAACCCTCTGAGTCCATCATTCAATTTGGATTTCAAAGCTATGGTATTATCATCGCAAGGATTGATTAGATATGTAGGTAAATCGTATATTGCAATTGGAGATACAGGGTTTAAGGGTCTTTTAACATCATTGAAGATAAAAACATTTAATCTTTAATCGCAGTCCTAATGACCAAAATAGTTTTCTTAAAATAAGATCTAATCTCCTGGAAGAATCTTAAGTTATTATCCAACACCTATTTTTAATATTGTATCATCAACATGATCAATTTCACAACTAGGGTTCTTGCCAAGTAATTTGTATGTTTTGTCATCCAATATTTATAAACAGATATTATCTTGAAATTGATTGGTGAAATATTATGGATTTAACGTGAAGTCAAACTTTACTAATATGGACAACAAGTCATCAGAGAATATGACGTTGAGGACAGCAACTTTGCAAGCTTTAATATTTTTAAATTATAATACTTGAACACCATGGAGTATCAAGATGACTCACCGAATCTGGTGGTTAATCACAAGACATTTCAGCAGATAAAACTCTATTGGCTTTACAAGTCAGACATCCATCTAAATTGCATGTTTCGCATAACCAAAAACAAGGCTAACAAGAATCATTCTAGAAATCATCATAAAATCCATCAGGACATTAACAAAGAGGCAAGTTAATACGACCACCTTTACAACTTAAACAATTTATTGAGGATTCCTAGCATGTTTTACATTGAAAAGCGCATTCTTAGAGCATAAATAATTAAAATACTGTCACATAGAGGTTATCCACCTTCGAAATACCCATCTTCACAGATACAAAGTTGAGTGTATCTTCCTTCTTTACATGTTAAACAATTAGAAGAAGTCTTATCACAAGTCTAGCATTAATTGTCACAAGCTATATTATCATACTTATAGATTACGCTCACAATTCAAAGAGGAATTTTCAAAATAACCAATTTTACAACTACAAGTAGGAGGAGCTTCTCTCAGATTACCAAAACAAAATAAACAATTATTTGAAGAGTTCTAACAAATTCTACATCTTGCACTACATTGAAAACAATCCACTTAAAGGCCATCATCATAGTACCCATCTTTGCAAATACAATTCTATGAGATACTCAATCTATTCGAAGTGCTGGATTAAAAACAAGTAACACAATTATCACTTTATAAATTGCATGTTGAACATTTATAATGGCATTCTCATAATAGAAACATTAGATACTTTAACATTTTTCATTTATATCTTAATAGAAACCAGTTAAACAAGGACATCTATTAATAGCAGATTGATCAAGTCTATTTTAATTAATATCACAACTTAAACAAAAATCTCTCCTCCCTTTACATGTTAGACATTAATTAGAGCACTCTTTAAATTAATAACAATTTTACTTTGACATACTAATTAACCGCTATCATAATATCCACTTTAACAAACACACTAATTTAGATTCAATAATCTAAAGTTTTGAGTTTAATTACATGAAAGACACTTGGTTGAAGTCTTTTCACAAGTCTAGCAAATTGGATTGCATGGTTAACACAATTCAATCCCAATATCATAGTAACCATCTAAACAAATGCATTGATTAGAGATTAAAAGTCTATAATTGGTTAGCTCACATGATAAGCAATTAGTTGATAAACTTTAGCAAGTCTTACAACTGAAATTGCATTCTAATGTTACTATGAAATTGTTACATGAACACTTCTTTTGATTAACTTCATAATATCCTTCTTTACATGGACACTTCAAGTTAACTGCATTAAAGTTTCTAGTAATACTTTCACATTCTAAACATTGGGACAATGACTTACATTCTTTACATAAAACAGTACACACTGAATAACAAGAATTATAATACTTTCACATGTTGAAGTAGAAGTGTTGAAAAAGTAACCTGAAGAACAAAGACATCTTCCTGTAGTATCCAAACTCAGATTGTACGAAATATCACATGTTATACAATTAGTTGGTAATACTTTACAAGTTAAACAAGATGAGTCACATGGTCTACAATCTAAAGATAGTGCTTCTTCATAATATCCATCTTTGCATACACAAATATTTCCTGTAGAAAATATTCGAAATTTATCTGCTGCACATGTTGTACAATAGTTGGCTTAATTGATACATGTTTAACAAGTTTAATCACAAAATAAACACTATTTATCTGAGCCACTTTCATATGTACCATCTACACATTTGCATTAATTGTTTGATAATTTTCTCAACACTTTGCAAGAAGTGCAATAAGCGATCGAATTTAAACAAGTTTGACAAGTAATGTCACAAACTTGGCATAAACCATTGATTTAAGTAGTTCCGCTTTTGCAAATGCATGTTTTAGTTGCAGTATCTAGTACTCTCATTAATGATGAATCACATTCAGTGCAATTAGTAGAAGTGAGTGAGCAATTTAAACAATTCTGATTACATTTACTACATTTACCCAGATTATTTACAAAATAACCTGCACCACATGGACAAGCAGTTCCATCTAAATATCTTGGAGATTCGCAGGATGTACAATTATCTGCAGTGTTTTAACAAGTCAAACATGAACTCAAACATTTATTACAATTAGTAGAGAATCCATCATCGTAATATCCAGGTAAACATTGGCAGACCCCTTGATTATAGACTCTAAAGGAGATTGTCTTATCTAAGCAAGTTAAACAAAATTAATCTCCAAAAGAATTACAAGTAAGACAAGTATAATGACATTTTTAGCAAGTTTGAGTTCCATTATCAAAATAAGAATCAATGCAATTACAAGTAAATAATATTCCATTGAATACTCTATTGGATGCAGATGGACATGAATTACACTTTTTAGAAATCGTGATGCATTCCGAACAAGAATAGTGACATTCTATACATAAAATTAATCTAATGTACTTTAGCATATAGGATTAGATCCATCATCAAAATATCCTTTTTAACAAAGACATTGTGAATTGATTAAAGTTCTAAATGAGTTTGATAAACAAGTCAAACATGTTGTATCTAATCCTGCACAAGTTTCACAACTATAATAGCATCCTAATACTCATTATCAAAATATTACCTTAGCACTTAGGTTTACCAATACACTATGTGATTTATGAATTTATTTTTTTTGATGTTTAAATTATGGAAGTTATTAAAATTCCCTATTTCAAAAAAATTCGGGCCACAAACACAAGTAGAATTAGTGAAAATTCTGCCTTCACTAGCCAGGCATGATGCACATTAATTATATTTAGATCCACTGCACTCTAAGCAAGAATAATGACAATCTAAATTAAATTAATGTTTTTGAAACTTTGACAATCAACTTTTCCTGCTACTTCGTAACTAGTAATAAAAGCTCCAGTTAGCTTGGTTTAACAAATACAAACATTCCCTTGTAAATATCTATCTGGTTTACAAGATATACAATGACCAGGAGTGTTTGAACAATCCAAACAATAAGGACTGCATGCTAATCATTATTTTGATTTATACGTTAACATTCAGGAGTCCCAACATCGTAGTATTTACTCATACATACGCATAACCCTGAAGGGTCTAATTATCTCATAATCTAAGTATAGCAGGATGTGCATTAATTTGATTAAGATCCATTACATGTTAAACAATTGACATAACAAGCTAATTTGAATTTCATATAATACGAATGCAGATTGGATTGTTAGGTGGGTCATACATTTTGGCTGGACAAGCACAAGAATTGTTTGTTCCTTGATCCCTATAAGAGTAGAGTGGACAAGCTGTACAATTGTCTATTGTACCACTGCAATTAGCACAACGATATGAGCATTCTAGTAGATATAGTATATTAATTACTGTAACACATAGGGTCGTCAACTATTTTTTCCATGTAAGTATCTTGACATAAACACAAGTTAGTCTTGAATTCTCTATTGTTACTTGATGAACATGTTAGACATTAATCTTAAGCAGAACCATAACAGGAACGACATGTATAATGGCAAGCTTTGAATAGACAATAAAATTACCGTTACATTGTAATACACCAATATCGAAATATCCATCAGGACATATACATTTAAACATTGAATATTGGCGATATGTTAAGTTGCAAGTTAAACAGTTACTCTCCAAGCTGCCATTACAAGTTTTGCAAGTGAAATGACATGCCTAACATTCTAATGATTTGCCATCACTATAATAATTAGAATCTTTGCACGCACATTTAAAAGTGGTTCCTGCTTTATCTGGTTATCTCGAAACAGGACAACTTGTACATTAATCTTCTGCAGATAAGACACAACTTGAACATGAATAATGACAATTGTCTATAAAATAGTGATATTAATTAAATTACATTTACAGACCATGTCATTAGTTCCAGAATCAATATATGAATTTTTGCATAAACACTGATAATCAGAAGTAAGATAACGAAAGGATGAGGATGAGCAGGTTGTGCAATTAGATGCTAAGGGACCATTGCAATTTTCGCATGTATAATGGCATTCTAAAATTTAAGAGGATAATTACTAAAGCAGACATCAGAAATTCCATCCTCACCATATCCTTCTTTACAAGCACAAATAAATTGATCATTAACATCTCTATTCTACCCTGCTATACACATTGTGCAATATTAATTAGATGTATTATCTAAAGGCTAAGAGCATTTCTCACATCTTGAATGGCATGCTAAAATAAATATTTAGGATTATATACGTTAACATATTGTACTTCCATCATTCTGAGTACTTTCAATTGTCTTATCTTAGCATGTACATTATCCAGATACTAATTATTTGTAATATATATTCGGGTCTCCACAATCGATGCAGTCATCTATATTTGGTCCATTGCATTGATAACATGATCCATAGCACTCTATATTTAAATGACAGACAATTACATTAACAACCAGTTTCAGCAACTCCAGTATTATAATTTCCTTAAGGGCATTATGAATGTAACAATACAAAATCTCTGATACCAAATGACTCTCCATCTGGTGATTCATTAAGATTGGTCGTAAAAGAGATCTCTAATTGTGTGCTAGTATGATTTATATCTAATTCAATTCTTGTAAAAATTGTTCTATAGTCATCGTGTGAGTCTCCACAAATCTTCCAAAAGTAACCCCAATAATAATTAAACTATTGTTGCCAAACAACAGCACCATCTAGTTTCATAAAAGCCCATTCATAATCCCAGGAATCAATCTTTGCCCATAAAAATTAGATCTTTATTTTTGCATGTTCTGGAATATTTAAAAAAGACCCACTAATAACTGTATTGACTCCTGTTTTCTAATAACCACCAAATAAAGCAACAGCTAATTTATATTCATTCTTCGTTACCTCCACAATATGTTGCATCAGGAGTTGTTGGAATTGTATTCCAACCATCGGATTATATTTCAATTGTATTTAATTAGGTCCAACTAGTGAAAAATATCTACCATATCTAACATTTAACAACTGTATCCGTCTCTAAACATATTTAACATCCATCTGGGCATCTCTCAACTGATATAATAAAATCTCTCATTCCCCAAGATTCCTTTCAAAATAATCAAACTTTAATACATTATCACCCCCTTCGTTCAAATTGCTTGTGATTACTACTATGGCTGTAGGACCACTATGTGGTACATTAGCATTAATATTAAAACTTTGTTCTCTAGAATCATCTCGGACAGTCCCACAGATGTCAGTTCCCTGGCTTCCCTATAATATTTGCTACCATGCATTCTGATAATCAAGGAAAACAAAACCTGTTTCACCATCCCAAGAATCAATTCTATGCTATTTATAGTCCTTACTTCCAAAATTAGAATTACAAATTTATCTTAAAATGAGGTGGAAGTGTAAAGATCTTAGTAACACTTGTCCTCATTCCAAAAGCATTATAACCCCCAAATAATAATGTGCCCATACAATCTGTGAATTATGGCGAGGCTCCGCTAACAACCCAATCTAAATCTAATCACTTTTATATTACTGTCCGCATCAGAAAAAGTACTTCCTTAAAATGAAGACGATATCACTTCCGTAACTCCAAAAACCTTTATTATACAATTCAGGCACAGAATTATTACAAAGTTAGGTTAAATCATTAATATAAATATTGTGAAAATGTAAATTTAGGATATTTTAAATAGGTAACTTCCTAACATAATATTAATTAAGTTTAATATCAACAATGACCTACAATCTACATATCATTAGCAATCAAACAAAAATGTAATCTAATGATGAGACAATGAAAAACAATCTGCTGAAATTAGAATCTATTTCAGTTTTTTTCAAAAATTCTATTCTTTTTGTACGTTTAATAACCTAAAATTTTCCCAGTACCTAAATATACCTATCAAATCATGAAACTTCTTAATCATTTGCCCAATTAATTTTATTAATTTTTTGTTGACAAAAATAGCTATCATCCATGTCGTTTGAAGCCAAAACCACCTCCAATTAATTTTGGTATAAAATTATTTGAAAGATTGTGTTTTTATATTTGAATTAGAATCCTAATTTATCTCAATAACTCAACTATAAGCGTGTTGATTTTAAAGAGGGCTACAAGGATTATTCTGAAATAGAACCCTCAAAATTGAAAACCCATAAATTTTTAATTAATCAATGTAATTTTCTTATTTCGCTTTGTGTAATCTATTACCCACTTAATATAAAAACATTCAAATTATATTGCTATTATGCTATAAAATGGTTAAAGTCTCGTGTACCTAGAATATCGTCTTTATTCTAACCAGAATTTGTCAATATTCTAAAATTATATTATCATTCGATATCCCTATTAAAGAAGATAAGGCTCTTTTTAGTATTATCACTCTTTAATAAAGCATTAAATATATCAAATTAAAATCTTCTTAATAAAATTAAGTAGTTGAATATAAGAGGAGGTTCAAGGGGAATAAATACAAGATTGCTAATTGCGAGATAATTTATATAACTAAGCATCTAAGTTTTAGTTTGGCTATTATTTATGAACCCTGTTTTTTGAGAAATTCTCAGGTTTTGAAATATAAATATATTTTATATATTCAAACATCATAAGCCAATAATGCTATGATACTCAACTTCACAGTTTCTGATGTCACATCACAATTTTAAGCATAATATAAAATTTATAACCTTAGTTAATTTTTTATCCGAAAAAAAGAATATTCGCTTAATAAGTTTTGGAAATTCATCCGCGCTTCTTTCATTAACTTAATCCTACAGAGAATATTAAGACAGTTTAACCTTTTTTGAACAGGAGATTATAATAATCGTTGGTTTTCTATGAAAGCTCCTAATGATCATGATGTATCATTTTCAAGATATTTAAAAATATTGTCCAACAAATATCTTAACATAAATGATTCTGTGAATTAAATGATTCTGAATTCTATAATACGATACTTAGCTTGCAATTTGGTATTTTAAGGTAAAGAACTGATTCTAGTTTCTCCTTGTAAATTAATTTCTTCCAAGAAAAAAGAAGTAATTTTTTTGTAATTATTGTTTAGATATCTAAATTTCCATCAAAATTAATGTTAATCAACAGCTCACAAATAACCAACTCACAATTGATCATATCAAAATTTAGGATGTGTTTATCCTAAAATTCGCTTAGCAATAATTATTACTTAAATGACTGTTCCACAATTATGTAAGGGGTATAAAGTATTCGTTTGAGAGGCAATCATGAAAACTTTTGAAACTAGATAGCCAATCAAAATAAAATTTAAAGGAAAGCTTTAGGCTCATGGAAATTAATCGTGAAATAATTACAAACACTCTTTCCTTGGTGATTTATGATATTTTGATGTTTGTATCCATATAAATTTTTAGATGTTTATAATTGTCTCATTATTTTCCAAAGATAAATATATATATATATTGGGTATTTAACATATTATATTCTTCACATATATTAATTTTAGCTATGTTATAGAAGCATAAATTTTTAATTTAACTTTTGTGAGTATTCATATAGAGAATCAGATAATTTGGATTGATGGGATAAATTTTTCTTACTCTGAAAATAGAGAGAAAGTTTTCTGATTATATAAAATTAATAAAAATTTTAAATTTTGATTATGCTATCAAAATAACAATAATAATTGTAAGAGATAGTATCCCAGAGCATATTGAAGAAGTATGTTTGAATAATAATTAGATCTGCGACGAAGACATCTTAAAAATTGAGTTAATCATTTAATCCTAATGGATTGATAGGTTAATCATTAAGTCCTACTCAGAAAACAAATTAAAGTATGGGATTAAAAAAAGGGAACAATTTAAAATAGTATCAATAAGATTTGCTTAAATTGATGACAAGCCATAAACAATTATAATCTGGCACTAAAAAGGCCAATATGTCGGATCTGATGAGTTAATAAAAGGATTCCAAGAGAATCTCTTCTGGCAATAGTCAGCCTCAAAAATCCTAGAACTCAAATAAAATTAGTTTTGTTAATCCAGCTAGTTAGATTATTATAATTGTTAATCATGAAAATCAACAAATCAAATTTAACATAGATCCTCAAAAATCAACAGGATGGTTAGAAGAATATTTGAAATAAGAAGTAAAGAAACATTCTATTCACCAATATTCATCTACAGGATCTTAACCTGATGAAAGAAAGGTAACTTGTGGAACAGGTAATGAGTCATCAGATTTGGAAATAGTGTCATTTCATACAGTTGATAAGAATTTACCAATCGATTATTATTTGCAGTAAGCAAATAAAAGTTTAGAAATATTTAGTGGTTAAACATTAAATCTCTAGCCCTTTTATGGAACTCCTCAATAAAGTAAAATAACTCTGAAGGATTTCATATTTGTAAAATGCATAGGAGTGGGAGGATTTTCCAGGGTTTATATGGTAAAGAAAAAGTCAAATGGAAGATTCTATGCAATGAAATTAATTGATAAGGAATTCATAATCCAACATAAAAAACAAGGTATTATTATAATATATATGAATATAAGGGATTGTATAAAACGAGAGAGACATTATGACTGTGCTTGACCATCCTTTTATAATAAAATTGGAATATGCATTTGAATCCAAAAATTTTATAGTGTTCGTTTTAGAATTTTGCAGTGGAGGGGAATTGTTTTGGTAATTAAGATAAGTGAAGAGAATGACAGAAGATCAAGCTCGATTTTATTTTGCAGAAATTTGTTTGGCTATGTTTTATCTACATTCACTGTCAGTGGTATACAGGGATATCAAACCAGAAAATATCTTAATTGACATTGATGGTCACATAAGAATTGCAGATTTCGGTCTATCCAAACCTAACATGACTGAAGAAGACTACGCCTATAGTTTTTGTGGATCTCCTGAATATATGGCTCCGGAAATGCTGTTGAAAGTGGGACATAATGTACAAGTAGACCATTATTGTATGGGTGCTTTGCTCTTTGAATTAGTTACAGGATTACCTCCTTATTATTCAAGAGACACTGATGAAATTTATGAATCAATCCTCAATGAAGAATTAACATTCCCTGAGAAGTTAAACTTATCACCAGAAATTAAGGTTTAATTATTATTTATCAATAGGATTTGCTCTAAGGATTATTATGCAAATAACCATCAGAGAGATTGGGAGCAAATAAAGGATTAACTGAATTGCTGACTCATGCTTGGTTTAAAGATGTGGATTTGGTCGCAATTTTACAAAAATAAATTCCACCTCCATTCAAGCCTAATTAATTGAAATTTAATTATGACTCTAATGATTTAATGAAGGGGGAATTGGAAACAAGAGAAAAGCTTTTGGGGAAAACAGGTCTGCAATAAGAAATAAGAATATTTAAGGCCTTCTACTTTGATTCTTATGAATAAAAATAGATGAAAACTGAACAGGCTAAAATTCTATAACAACACTTTATGATGGTGACATAATAATAATTAGTATTAAATCAAAAGTTTAAACCCAAAAGAAAAAGCACAGAACCGAAGGAACATCAATCAAAACCTGCATCTCCATAAACTAGGAATCAAAAACAATAAAAATTTACACCAGAGCAATTTCAATCTCTTTAGAAAAGAATAAAATCTTAGTAAATATTGAGTTCTAAAATAGATAATCATCTATGAGCAACGTATAATAGATCAGTACTATTCCAAGTCCAGCGCAATCTAAGTTGTAGGGTTTAAAGAGGATTATTTCCCAAAATAATTTTTTTGCAGACAGATAGAACACATTGCCCACGGGACAGAAAGATGGAAACATAGACTACCACCAATTGCTATCGAATGTGTCAACAGAATAAATTTTACATAAAAGAGTGTCCTCTTTAAAGTAAAGAAAAAAATGAATTTACTAAAAACAATAAATTAATTTTATAATTTTGAATTTTCTCACTATGAATAGAAACAAAGACTTAGATGCACTTCTCTTTTAAAAGAACACTGAATTAAAATAAGACTTAGAGAAACCTCCCTATTCTCACATAGATATCACCATTACATCCTATAGTGAAATATCTGATGGAACTCCAAATAAATTTCCAATCAAAAAAGTTTATACGGAATAAAATTGCTTTTAACATCAAAAGAATAGAATATTAACTCAAGAAGAACAGATTCACTAATAAAATCAATTATAGGTATCAAATTCAATTCTTGAATCTATGACCCCATAAAGAATGAATAAATTAATTGATTGGTCTAAATATAATGTAACACCTGGGGATGGCAAAAATATCTTCCCCCAAGTTTAAGGACCAAGTATCGAATTTTCAAATGAAAACTCATTAAATTTTAAATAACCGTAAAAACTTAATATCAACAGCGATATTCTCTTAAATAAATATATTGAAATTGAGGAAAGACTTAAATTATTGTAGGCAAAGCATAAAGACTTTTCAACTCTAGAAGCTCTAAGGGGAAAGAACCTCCAAATAGCCTCTTAGAAAATTGTTAGTTAACAAGAGGTTATCAGAGCCAAGGACAAGATTATTGATGAATTAAACTTAGAAATCAAAAAAAGAAAGGATTATGATATATAAATTAAGGATTTACTAAAAGAAATTGAACAAAAGGATTAAATTTTAAGTGAATTCAAAAATAAATCAGACAAGGATAGAATAATTGAAAATTAAGAATAATAAATTCAAATTCTAACAAACAGATTGAAAAAGGAGATTGAATATCGAAAGCAGGATGAAAACATGTTATCAGAAATCAAATTAAAAGAGATTAAAAGATCCACTGTGTTTGAACTCAATACTAAATGTCAATCTTGTTCATTAAGCAAATAGGAATTGAAAAATATATTATAAGAATGCTCAATTGAGGACGATAAGAATATTTTTGAAAGTGAAATGTCTGTACCTATTTAAATCAGAGAAGTAGTTACATTACTATTGACAAAGTAGAGAGAATAGATAGATATTGCATTTCAATAATATGAAGAATAGTTAAAAGAATTATCAGATTAAATTGAATATTTTAAAGAGTAAAATAAGAACTTAATAGATGATAACAATAAATTGCATAACTAATTATCAATAATCTTAAATGAAAGAGGAGAACAAGAATAGAAATTATACGAAGAATTTGAAAAAGTAAAAAAAATCAACTACCAATTAATTTAGGAGAATTCAGAATTTAAATAATAGTTAAAATCTCCAAGAAACTAAGATCATATGAAATCCATCGATTTAGAAAATTTAGGTCATTTTAAATCAATTTAAACTGATAGATCAGGTTTAAATAATGAAATGGCATAAATTAAATAATAATTCTAGAATTAAATAAAGGACTTACTTGGTAAAATATCTGAGTAAGAAAAACAAATATTGTAGTTGAAGAGTGATTCATATAAAAATTTATCATCTTCGAAAAAGAATAAGAATTTGTAAAGTCAGAATTTATAAAATGAGATGAAACACTAGGAATAAAAACTCAAGGAAAAAGATAAAAAGAACATAGAACTTTATTCATAAATAAAATAACTGTAGCAAGTGTAAAAAGGTTACGAGTAGACAATTTTTGAACTTAAAGATGAATTGGAAAAACAAAAAAAGAAATTGTAATAAAAAAATACGGAAGTTAAGTAATTAATTGAATAGAATAAAACATTTTAAGATAAAAATTCAAATCTAAATCAAAAGATTATTTTGCTCTAATAATAATGTATTTAGTAGGAATCTGATATGAAATTGAATGATACTAAATAATCCCCAAATAATAAAAGTATTGAATAAGACAGGGTTATTAGTTAATATATTTCAGCAAATTTGAGTTAGCAATAATTAAATTAATTGGTGGATGAATATAAGAGTTATCAACAAGAGTTTATAGACTTGAAACAGGTTTTTACAGAGAAGCTTAGATAACATGAAATATTATAAAATGTATTATTCATTGCTATTATTATTAGAAAATATCAAGGCTTCAACAAGACAATAACTAATTAGCTTAACAAAATCAAAAGTTGATGATGGAAAATTAGAGTCAAAAGGATGATAAACTAACAAAAAGAACATCTGAAGAGATTACTACAGGAGTACGATGTTCTGCTGCAACTGGAGATTCAATCAATATAAAATCATTCATCTAATTAGGAGATGAAGAATCTTTAAAGAGAAAATAATTAAACATTTTAGATCTGATTCAGCCTGAATTAATGTCTACGGAAGAAACTCTTTACATTCTTAAGGAAATACTGATTAGGTCTGTAAAATCAATAGAATTGATTAAGAAAATTTATTAGATAAACGAAATCAAGGAATTGCTGTTCATCATACAATAAGTGGATGAACAGTATTAGAGTTCCAACAAAAAGTTGACTAAGGTTATCAGCTGCATTTTAGGAGAAAAAAGGAAAATAAAGTACACAAATAGAAGTGAAAAGCCAGATTTCTATAATTCTTGATATGATCTATAAGTATCAATGTTTTTTTGGAATTAATTTTCCAATCGATGTTTATTTTTCTAATCCTGATTTCTTATGAATTTACAATCTACTCTCTCTTATGACTGACTCAATGTACTTTTTATCAAAATATTTATTGTAAAAGTCTTTCTAATCGTTTGAGTTTATACTTTGAATGGGTTCAATGTATTATTAATATTAATTTTTAATATTTTTTATTAAATATGAGGTTTCCTAAAATATCTCTTGATTTATTTGACTTAAACTTGTTTAATCTTTACTTTATTTTTAGGGTGAATAAAATTGAGTTGCAGATGCTTACAATTCTTGCATTCCTTCAAAACTACGGTCCTAACAATCTGACAAGTAAAGATAGATGTGGTGTTGTTCCTTTTAATTTATATACAAAAATGATATACTTTCATTTTTAATTTTGGGTTCAGTCTCAACTTTGTCTATGAAGATGATGTTTCTGATTATTGGACACTTTACTATGGGACCAACAATGGATTTAACTAGAGAGCCTAAGCTAGTTGTTGACTTGATTCATTCAAATATAACTTACTTCCCCTCTTCTTCTTTATTTTCAGAGCTAGTTGGTTATTCTTGACTGTCTTGTTACTTCAATGGCGGGTTCGGCTATAATATTATTAACATTATACCTTTGACCGCTTACGCTTAAGTGTAGCAGCCTTTTTAAAAACTAAAATTAAAGGAAACTTACCTCTTCCTGACGTTCTTTCTCCTGTATGCGTTGTAAATACTATTTTATTTTTCTTTCTTCTCTAGATGAAGTTTACTCATTAATTATTAAGGATTACGAAGATCCCTTTGGTAGATTTACCAATTCAGCTGGTTTTACCTATTTCTTTTATTATTCTTCCTATGAAGATAATAAACTTGAGTTTTCTTGACTCTCACCCTTCGATTATTATTCACTCATTATTATTTAAATTAATTTAAAGATATTTATTTTTCTCTCAAATTAAGAATTTAAAACTTCATTTAATCCGATTCATCTTCGAGCATTTTATTGCAACACTTCAAATCAATTTAATTTTACTTTTTTTTATTTTATATTATACAAATTTTAAGAGCAAATTAATACAATCGCAATCCAATTGTGCAAAATGCATATTCATGTTTATCTATATGATATTTCCATTCAAATAAGATGTCATCCAAAATTCTTATCATTAATAATTTTCACATTTATTATGATAATTTATTTTATATACTTATAAGAGGAATTAAAAATATCTAATATTCATAATCTCTATTATCCTCATCTAATTGCATAAATGAAATAACGAAACACTATTTAAAATAGTAATAGATTTAATTCAATTGATTTTTGAATGCTTTAATAATAAGTGTTTAATTATATCATAATTGCAATAGATGATCCCATCCAGTTGGTCCTGAAACTTTACTAAATAAGGGATCAATCACAATTTTAAATGCATCATCTATCATTTTTGGTATTAATTCTTTTAATAATGGAGATGACTCTTCAAGACACGGATTAGTGTTGATTTCAATAAGCCATGGCTTCAATGATTCGTCTAACATAAAATCGTATCCAAAGATCTCAAAAGAATATTTACATTTTTTAAATGTATTCTGTACTGCCATCCAAGAAAAGACTATGATTGACTTAAGCTTTGGTAACACAGTTTTGGTGAATTCTCCATTTGTATAATAATCCAATTCTGAATATGAAATTTAATTTCCCAATTCAAAAAACCCATAATTTTTTGAGTGTTTTTAAACTGCATTATTTGTTAAGTGGATAAATGCATCCAATTGGTTTAGATCAAACATTTCTGAAGACAACCTTGCATAACCCTGATTAAAAACATATATTTCAAAAGAATAAGTTACTAAAACCCAAACTCTAATATCGAATTTTCTTCCATCTAAAAGCAATGGTCTTTAAATGTACTTCTATATCACAAAAGAGGAGGATTTAATTTAACCTTGACTGAATTAGTATTCAGATGTGCCTTTAGTGAAATCCTTCAATATCTGCTTGAGTTCTTCAATGGTTCTGAAGAATTGGATACCTCTTCCTCTATTGAATTCATTTGGCTTTAAAATCTTAACTGTTAGTTCAAATGAATACCCAAATGTAATTGTTTTCTTCGTCCAAAAAGCTATAGTGCATTTTAGGGTGGATATATTATTAATATGGCTTGGAGGGACAATTATGCTAAGATTTTTTGTCGTTTGAAGGTTTGAATTATTCATAAAAGTATGTGAATTCTTAGAGAACTCTATTTAAATTTCGTTCTTAAGAATAAAGGTCAATGATGAAAGATAATGGGGTTACATCCCATACATAGCGCTTGTTGGATTAACAAAACTATTTTAGATTTCTGATTAAATTGCATTTCATGGTAAGTTCTCTGTGATTAGGTAAATGATTAACAATTTGAATATAGGATTAGCTGAGTGTAAGATATTTAAAGTTCTTATCATTCATGTTCCATTGAAAATGAATTAAATTATTTTCTGATTCTTACCAATTCTTTCTTTTTTGCATTGTTTAAATAATAAGTTTGCTATTGTTTCCAGGAGCTACATGGTAATAATAAACTTATGGATTCAATATTTTGAGAGATTAATATCGTGGAATTTATTTGAATTAAGAGATTGGCTCATTTTGATCTTCCACTTGCTATTATTGTAACATATAAATTAATTAAAAATGATAGATAATCAAACTTTGTAAAGTATACTCAACTATTAGAATGTAACAGAAGGGTATTCATATGAAGAATTGAGTGAGTTAAAGAATTTTAAGACTATGCTTTCTAGTGATAAGATTTATTTTGGGCAAGTATTCAATTCAAAGAAGCACGGGAAAGGTGTGTTGTGGTCCAAATCAGGACATATTTATGAAGGGGAATTTAATAACAATAGAAAACATGGATTTGGGATAGAGATATTCTAATCTAAATCTAGTTATTGTGGAAGTTATGTAAATGGTAGGCCAGAAGGCTTAGGAAAATTTATTTGGGGAAATGGAGAATCTTATGATGGGGAATGGTTGAACGGGTTTAAACATGGTTATGGAACCTGGGTAGGATTAAAGGGAGATAGTTATAGTGGTTAATGGGCGTATGACAAGCCTCATGGTTAAGGCATTCATAAATGGATTAATGGAGAACAATACCAGGGAGAGTTTAAGGAATGTTTGAAACACGGTTTCGGTGAAGAAATGTTTTCAAATGGAGATAGGTATGTTGGGATGTATTAAAATGGAACTCCAGATGGAGATGGAGAATATTTCTATTCAAGTGGGGCATATTTCCACGGTTAATTTTTGAATGGATTAAAATCCGGGTATGGTGAGTATCGATGTGCCAATTACACTTATAAGGGCTATTATCAAAATGACAAAAAGAACGGAGAAGGAGAGTTGATATATGCAGATGGAAGTAGAAAAAAAGGAAAATTTTATAATGATTTATTTGAGAATATTGAAACAAATAAGCTCACTATTAACACATAACCAGAAAGAAGTCCCAAACATATAGTCAATATTACTAATTCTAAACCTCCACTCTATTTATCTTAGACTAAACCAACCAAACATTAGATTGAATCCTCGTCTTTGAATAAAACGGTTAACATAACTAGACATTCTCAAGAAACTAAACTAAAGAATCAAATCAATAGATTGCCAGTTATGAGTATTAAATTGAGGAGCAATTCAACCAGATAATCAAATCAAGATAGCGAACCCAATAGTAGTAGTTAACGTAAAAACAATTACTCAGTAAATAGTAAACAGACTTCTCCTAAGTATTCTGTGATTAATTAAACACTGCCAACTACGAAGACAATTTATAAAAATAATAATCAATAGGAGTTTTCTTAAAAGTTTGACAGCACCATCGGAAAATTTAATACTAAAATAGGATTGAAAGAAAAATAAAGTCAGAATTATAGAGGTATGCTTTCATCAAAATAAAATTGAACTAAAATTACTTTATATCTTAATTAATCATTTTAAAACTTTCATTTCTTATTGATTCAATAACTCCTCATTCTAAGTTGAGTTTTCTTCAACTCTCTTCTTGAATGCTCGAATGCAAGCTAACAAAATGACGCCACAAATTATAGTGAATAATGCAATTAGATGTATAGTAGATCTTTTATCAACAGTAAAATTTTCAACCTTAATCAAACCTTTGAGTAATGGGGTTATTGACTCTGTTTAAGCTGTAGAGTTCAAAGATTTAGAGTAATTTTGTAAATTTACTATTTGTTCTGCTGTTACTGGCAAGGAATCAGACAGAATGAATATCTTTCTACCACAATTCTCATATTGTACAAAATACTCGACATCCTTCAATTGTTCTGCCAAATCAACCAATCTTAATTAGAAATTATTTTAGATTTGAAGAGTAGGGTTTTCTCGAATATTATTATTTGTTTCAACAGGAATAACTAATTAAGCAAAGGCTAAGTTATCGATTTCTGTTGTGTTCATTTGATACATATTTACTATGATTTCGCATTTGGCTTCTTCTTCGTCTGGAATCATATGGATAGCTGGACAATAAATCTCAAAATTTTGGGGACCGAAAATTAGTGAAGACTGGAGTATTTGAATTTTAGATTTATCATTGATATTAAAATCCTCGCCATAACCAATTATGTATTCTCCTTCCAATCTTATTACGATATCGGTTTCTGATTATTGTTTCTAGACTGATTTGGGAATTTGGAGATATACATTCTCGATGCATTGTCCACTCGCAATAATTAGCAAAGAGAGAAAATATATTGGCATTTAATAAATAAAATGAAATTACCTGTTAAAGATAATTAATTATATATTTTACAAATGAAAAAACTATAATAAATAGAGAATATTAAGCCTGTAAATAACGAATTCCGATTGAGTGATTTGAATTATCTCTTGCAAGGTAATAGTAATTTAAATTACAAAGGAGGAAGGCCAAAAGAGAAGTATCTATTGCATCAAGTGTTTCAACATTTCCATTAGGATTCTGAACTTGCCAAAAAATTAACAAATCTGCTACTGAAATTTGAAAACCCAAATGAGCATGACAAGGAGAAATGGACACCGTTGCATCTGGCTGTGAGATATAATTAAAATAAAGCAGTGATTTATGCCTAATAAATTGGATAATTCGATTTTCATGTTCTAGCAGGATAATAAGGACTATCATTAATGCATTTGGCTGTTCTTAAAAGCAATTATGAAATCATAGAAATCTTGATAGTAAATCATTTAATTAACCATTAGGAAGAGAAAGTTTCATTATTCACTGAGAATTTAGATGGAGTATTGCCAAGGAGATTTGCATTACAATCTCCAGTTAATTTAAAAATGATCAAGAAATACGAGAATCAATAAATTATGAGATTTTTAATTGATCTTGAAGACATCGATGATGATGAATCAACTTAAGCAAACAAAATTTAAAATTTGAACGTTTCCCAATAATCAATTAAATAAGGAGAGGCCAATGATGTTCTCGTTACTAGACCAAAGGTATCATTAACCTACCATGTGTAATTAAAACAGTTCAATCCCAACTATTTATAATGTGAAAGATTTTATGAAAATGCTTTGAATATAATTTTTGAATCAAACGATGTACTTATTTGATATGCGCTAGAATAAGAGCTTTATACAAGTATGTTACTATTGTTGTCTTTGAGCAATGATAAGTTTCCCACCAAGCACATCCAATAATTCGTGGAGTAATTAAACGTCACAATACCGATTCTTAGACAAGACTTTTTTTCAATTGAATCTAAATTTGAACAATCCAGTAAGAAAATCAAGAAGGATTTGGTTTATGCAATATAGGATTACAGAATAGTATATATAAATATTCAACTATGTAGAAATTGAAAGGGATTCCGAACATCTTTGGAGAACCAAAGAATTAAGAAGCGATCAACAATTTGAAACGCTTCACTTCAAATAAGTTAGAATATGACATTAAAAATTATGCTGCTGTATTTCCAATGCCATAATTGATGCAACAGATACAAAGATTGAGTTACTTCTCTCATTTTAGTTTTTTGATTTGCGGATATCCTAAGTTAAAATTCCAATCAAATCATTTGGTGTTGCATCAATTTGAATGTCTGAATTAGTTGGAACATTGTTAGTCAACTGAATCATCCAGAGTCAAGGGGTCTAGTGTGCATGAATCCAATACCAATTTAGATTCAAAATTGAAATTTAATAATATTTACAATAATTATTAATTATGAATAAATCACAATAAGAAGCTATTCAGAAGAACCATTATGGCAAACTAGAATACTGGGAAAGAAGATATTCAGAGTATTATGTAATGTTATTCTAGAAATGATAAACCATTTGAATGGTATTAAAATTATGATAACTTAAAAGACATTGTTACACAATACATCAATCACAACAGTCGTATTCTCAATATTGGATGTGGCAATTCAAGTATTCTTATTCAGTTAATTAATTATAGATATTCCTGAAGACATGTACAAAGAAGGTTATCAATGGATTGTTAATCTAGATTTCTCTAAAACAGTAATTGAATTCATGAAAGAGAAGTATAAGTCTTATCCTGCTCATTTTTAATGTATTCACTTAGATCCATATATAGTCGTCTTGGCTGATGCGAGAGAATTGCCATTTGCAAATGATTCATTTGATTGTGTCTTCGACAAAGGCCTATTGGATGCTGTGCTAAGTGGAGACTACTCAGCTTAGAATTCTAAAAAAGTGATCAATCACATCTACAGAGCATTAAAAAAAGACACAGGTGTATATATAGTTGTCTCCCATGGATTCCCTGAATAGAGACTTCCATATCTAAGCAAGTCAGAATATAATTGGAAGGTGACATACAGTAAAGTTTATAAACCTGATGTCAGAACTAAAAGCTTGGAATTCGATGCTACAGATCTTAATAATTATCATTTCATCTATGTTTGCAAAATGGATAGATACCAAGGTTAAACTGCTGCTTAAGTCATTGGAATTTGATTATATTATACAGACTTAAGAAATATTCATAGATATTCAATAAGAGACTCAAAATAATTATGAATATATTTTATATTTTATTGTACATATTAGTGTTTAATGCACTCATCCAATATTTTGTTAAAGACATCAATCAAATCTACAAATATATTCATGAATTTGAATTTGAGATATGAATGAGCAAAATAAAATACCATATATCAGAAGATCCTAATTATGAGTAAAAGGTGACTACATTTGTACCTAATAATTTTATGAAGAATATACTGATGCAGGATCACATAAAAATGACAGATTATGAATATAATATGAAAAATTATGAAGAGAAAGACTTGAGTTAAAAAATATATAGTATTAATATTTTGTAAAGGGATTTAGAATTTTAAAACAAGATTATTTTAAGGATTCAATCCATAATAACTTCAGATATAATGATATCGTAAAGGAATCTCTAATTAATAGAAAGTGATAACAAAACCTATTAATTTCATATTATTCCAATAATTGTAATGATATCGTTGGCTGAAGAATACAAAGTAAAATAACTTTGAATTTGATAGGTCATTTGGACATTAAAAGATGCCGATAATATAATTCAATTTTAAGAAAAGAACAATTCAAACTTTTCATTTGTTTAATGTATTTGTATCACTTTTATCCTTCTAAAACAGGGTTGCATCCGATTTATAGTTTCAGTATTGTATCAACTTTTACTCCATCCCTCCTGATATGTTAGAAGTAGTAGTCTTTTGACTTGAAATTATACATTAATATTCTATTTTAATTCCAATAATTTGATTTAAGTAAGAAGTACTGGAATAGATATCATTTCAACTAAGAGTTGCTCTTCATTCTTCTCATTTTCCGTCATTCATATACAATAATAAGGAATGAATGAACATGACATCTTCACTAGCTTATTTATCATTTGTTAATTGTGAAACTATATATTCTACAATCCAAGTAATGAGTAATTCAATCTTATGAATCTCAATAGATATAATAAATTCGATAATTATGCACTTTATTATGAGACTCCTTTAGATAGGATCCAAAAATAATACTTAACATAAAGAACAACTAAAATTGGTTTTAATCCAATAGTAATGATCATCCCTATTACTTACAGAAGACTATATGTCAGCACAATTCAGTAGATCATATTTGAATCAAAGTCTTAATATTCTTATTGATATTATTTGCACTAATTATAATTATTCTTCAGAGACTTAATGTAATTCTAAAAGAACATATGAATTGTCTCCATTAATCAATATCAAAATAGTCTACTTTTTTATATATTTCCCATGAGAATAAAAGAACTAAAATCCTATAATCAAATAATATAGGCATTAACTGAAATCTCTTTCACTGAGGCATGAGAAATTAAGTCTATCCATAAGGAAGAGTACTTAATGTGCACACACTACTATTGCTAATATTTGGATGGGGTTGTAAATTAATTAATATTTTATGCATAACTAAATTAAGACTAAGTACAATGTTGATAGATAGAGTATGTCATAATATTGAGTTAGATTTATATTTTGCAGATAACAAAATCAGCTTGGCTTTTTGTTAATATGAAAGGATGAGACCATTTGGTTTGAAATAACATGTTGATTGTGATAGTGACTACGATGATCCTCCAACGAAAATGATCGATATCACAAAACTACCTAATGGATAGTTCAAAGATAGAAGTAAGTTTCAAGTTATAATAAGGATACATGCACAATGACGAGTCATTTTTTGTATAAATGGGTGGAAAGAATAGAGAATTAATTGCCTAGAAAATCAGATCGAGGCTAGAAAGTAGATAGAGTCCTATGACACATAGGGGTAATTGGTGTTTCTTTTATGATTAAAGCTAGAAAGTCCTATTTATGATCAAAGGATGATCAAAAAGGCTTTAAAATGTCAACAACTGAAATCATCAAATTCTGCAAGGTTTTTTCGAATACAGTCTCCAAAATTATCTCCCATATGTAGAATTGAAGTGAGACCGATGAGTGGAGAGGATGAAGATGTGAAAAATATGACGTAGTTTAGTTCAGCACAGTAAAAACTTTTTAGAATACTGCTCAAGAAATGAATTAATTTTGGTGTTAGAATATAATTAAAATTCTCATATATTTTAATAATGGAAATGATTATAAAACATATTAAATATTATAGCAATCATAATATAATATTTATGTTTAATGATCATGATATTATTTTCACATTAGGCAGTGTTTATTATTATTATTATTATTGTAAAAGTGTTGGTTGGATAGTTTGGATAGGCTAATCTTAAATAATGTATTGCTTATGAATTGGCTATGGAGGAAATGATTGGGATGAATCAATGACATATTATGCCTAAATTGGTCGAGTAGTAGTAGTTTATTCAAGAACAACTCTCTAAGGTGATTGTTATTGAAGTAAAATGGACTGTCTTGACAATTCTATGCTGATTCGTTATTCTAAAGATTTAATCAACTCATCCTTTTATCCTATGATAGTGGCCATCTTAATATTCTCTTATTCTAGAAACCTAAAGTCATTGATCATTCTAGTGTAATCTTATTTTAATCTGATCTTCTCGGGATCCTCTCTGAAAGACAGTGATGATAATTCTGAATTAGAGAATTTGAGGGAATCGATTTCTCTCAACAATGCATTACGTTCCTACTCTAAATATCTTACCTGATTAATCAACTCATAATTCTCTTATGGCACTGGAACATGAACTACCTACTGAGGAATCGGTTGTCTTAATCTGAGATCTAAATCCTAGATCTAACTACTCTTTTGTTAAAGTTCTATTTGGATGTTATTTATGATTTGTTTCAACTCCTTAATTCTTTTCTTTTTCTTATCCAATTGGTTTTCCAATTTCTCTATTTAATATGGATTGATGATTTAGGTTTATTATTATTAAGGTTGAGTTTATTGACCTCTTTAACTTAATTGATGTTTAATATCAAAGAGTGATTATTTCAAATCTAATAATTGTCGTTATTATTCATCCTACACTTTTTAATTCTGCAATTGCTCTAATTGTTATTACATTTTTAATTCCATTTCCCTAACTTCTTGTAGGTGCAATTTCTCTATTTCATCGAGTTTCCTCTCGTAATCCTCATTTCTATTTTAGACAATTGGTTACTTCTCTAAGAATAATGATGAACTTTACCTTTCAACACTACTTGTCTTGTAACAACCTTTTACTCCTTGTCACAACATGGGACACATGGCATACAAGGCATGCAGCAATTCTATTCCTAGATCACGTGATCTTATTTTATGAATTATGATTCTCCTTGCACCACTCTTCTCTCTCTAATTACTGTTGGTTCTGCTGTTATGATTTATGTTCCTTGGATATGAGGTATCACCACTGTTGGTTATTCATATGTGGCAGCTATGTATGGAGTGGGAACATAGGATTAATAGTATGATTGAGGATGGTCATATCGATTTTCTACTACTTTAGTTTTCTTTTCAGAGTGTTTGGACATTATAATAAATCAACGGTTAATTAATTAAAAAATTATTCACAGCACAGTAGCATTGCAAGAGCAATCAAGAATTGACCAGAACGAAGGTGGATGGGTATACTTCTTTCTATTTTGGACATCCTCAAATTAAGTCAACAACGATTCACTATAATCCATTCTTTGTCTCTGTTGAATTGCAAATCTCTTGGCATATTCAATGAATTATGATTCTTTCTTAGATTTGTCAATCATCATTTTTAAGGCTCCCTATTTATTATTAATAGCCTCAAGAATAATAATTTTAAATTAATCATTATTTTAGCATTGTATTTGTTACACTTTTTTATGTTGAATTGAGTTTTCAAAATATCTCTCAGCCTTCTTTATTTTCTTAGTCCAATCCGATCTGAATTCACATACCTATCTAAAGGTTTTACCTTGCTAATTCTTATCATATAATTGTTCATGAATGCAATTATCCAAATGTAAACATGGTTAAATAACTAGAGAAACTAATAATTCCAAATCCTTTTGATTCTTATACTCAAAGAGTTTCTTGTCACAAGAGGTTGGTGACTTCAATTTAATAGTATAACTCTTCTAACACTCCCCTTGAATGGAATACTTTAATTTGTCATATATCTGAATCTGAGGTGATGGGTGTTTCCGATGAGCACTTACTCTCAGTTAATTGATTTGGGATTCATCTTGAACTAAATTTGAGATATTCTTCATTAATTTAAATTATGTTCCACTAATACTTAAATGATAAAAGTATTAGATTAAGTTCAATACAATATTCATGAACAAACACTTTTACATTCTGTCATTTCAATGACATAAAATTCATTACTTGCTGATTTAAATTCTAATTCTAGTATTACCAAACCATCTTAACTACAAATTAACTTGTTCTCTCAATTTGTTTCAATAACGTCATTTATATATAATTTTGGATATCTAGTTAAATGAGCATAATAAATTTAATCAAAAATATCCAGCATCTAATATTAAGAAATCAATCTAGTAAATATCGCATTTAATGATTGTTTAGTAGAAAACTATTAGAAGTAATTAGAGATTATGGTTCCAAAATTAAGATAATAGTAAATGACATACTAAACCTTCAAATTGGAAGAAATGAGGAGAATACAAAAAAGGATATTAGGAAATTCGTTTTTCTGAATATAATATAAAATTTATTAAGGAATGAGAAGAATCAATTTAAGTGATATAATATTACATTTGAAATCAATGAAATTTGTAATTTTCATCTCAAATTTTTGTTTCCATTTATAGATTCATTTGATATGAATTTTAATATCAATTTCTTTGATTTAGAAATTATATTTGAATAATACTCTAAATTATCATCTAAACATACACGCTTACTTTATTCGCTTATGTTAAATTATACAAATGTCGTGAGATATTATTTATCAAAGACACATAAGTGTAATATGATTTAATTTATAATATACTTTTTTTAAAATACAATATTTTCTATTTCTATTTTAACAAATTAGGTGCTGATTTCTTTCTAATTTTACAAAATATTTGTTGCCTTGATTAGATGTATTAATTCTATTGTATGAATGTATAGATTTAAATAAATGTAAGCTATTATTGTTGATTCATAAATAAAAGCTCATTCTTAGACAATTCCTCCTTAATTCAAATTGTTTAATGGAAAATAAAGTATGTTGAATTAGCAAAAGACTTTAATCTACTAGTAAAACCTTAGAATTTAAGTGAAAACATAAGTAATCCAAAAATGAAATAATACTTATTTGAAGAATAGCTCTACTTTTGATATGAATGTTTATCATAAACTTGTCACTTTTTTGATAAATAGATTTATTTAATTTTGGTAAGTATTTTTCAAATGATTTTCTGATTTTTGATTATTCCTTTGGAGAAGTATAGAGAAGTGGATTTGAGGAGTAGATTTATTCTTGTAGATGAGATGGGAATGCTGTTTGAGATTGATTGATGAGTGTATTAGATTTATATATATTAATAAATGATAATAATTGATATAATGAAGGAGAGGGTTTCAGACATTTAGAATATCTACAATAATAGTATGGCAATAAAACAAATTAGTAATCTTGATTATAATGTAGAGTATAGAGAGAAACTTCGGTAAATCTAAGAGGCTGACATCATGAGTTCGCTCTATTAATTTCGTAAATTGACACAATAGGATTTAGCTCAATTCCAAGAAGGAGCAAAACAAATATTTAAAATAATTGCGCCAGGATTTGATGTACACGATAACATTAGTTAAGACACGATTTAGTGAAATCACTCTCACTTCCACCAGCAAAGTGTTCATAGAGTTGTACTAACATTTTGGTTTCGTGCAAAAAAGTGACACATTGTACAATGAATTACTTCACAATTCCAAGTAGCAGATATTTCTATGTCTCATACAGCATTTGATAGATCTCACCAAAATTGCATTGAAGTGTGCTGTCAAACGGTTTTTGGACATGAAGCTCTTTTGTATAGGTAAAGAGATTGAAAAGTCTCCCATTTTATTAAGCAAAAGGGTTGAAATGATTCAACTTGCAGCAGTTAAGAGGAATAAAATTAAAAGAGTTATGCGAAGTGAATCCAATTCTCTACATTAATCTGATAAAAAGTAAGAACTTAGAATTATTATTGATAAAAAAGATCGACTTTCTTTTCATGATGTTATTTCCCATTATGATAAAAGTGAAATCATAAAGAAAAATATCAGAAATTATGATGAAATCAACATCGATAACGCATCTACTACTTGCAATAGAAACATCCAAAGATATCAAAGTGTCTAGAAAAACACAGAACCCAATACATAACGATTACAATTCCCTAGCATCTATAAGAATTCCAACTCTGCTCTATACAAGCTTCTCAAATAGCGTAATCAATCCATAAGTCTAACCATATCTAATTACATTAAAGAATTGCAGGACAAAGGAATTTATGAAGAATGAATTAATAAAACTAAATTACTTTATTATTAATATTTCTCTCTCTATCCTCCCCCACAATAAAGCTAAGATCATAATAAATTCTACAACAAAATGTTGGAATCTCTCATTCCTTAAATATTTTGAAGTTTAAACAATTACAGGGAGCCAAGTTGGAACCAAAATTCAGGAATTTTAAAACATCACTTTAAACTTTTATATTAACATTAACCAGTTTTATGAATTCTAATTATTCCAATGAAATAAGCTTAATTATTGAAATTTGAAAACTTAAGGAGCATTCATTTTATTCAATCAATATTTAATTACATTTGAATTTTCAAATTGCTTGCGTATATATAATAATGTAGTTAATGTACTAATATTGAAGAAGTAAAGACAACCTAAATTAAAGATTTAATCTAACTTTTAACTGTAATAGATGAAGTTGAGAGCTTGCTTTATTGAGTAGTATTACTACAGGAATTAGATGATATAAATTTAGAATTATGCTGATAGATAAGAGGAGATAAAATTATTTAGATTGTTGATAAAAGTAAAAAAAATATGTTCCATTCATAATGAATATTGATAGATTAGAATATTCAAAATTAGGCCAATTTTTAGGTAATATATTCTAAAAAAGAGAGAAGGCATTAATTTATATTTATTAATAAAAATGAAGATTCGATTTATTATTTAATTATATTTTTGCAATGAGTTTAATTATAACATTTATTCTGGAGATTTGACTGAGTACAATGGTATTAATTTTGAATTAATATCTCTCAAAATTGATCATAATATTAATATAAATAAATGGAATTCGCAATGAGCATTCAGTTAGTGAGTAATGTACTTATAACCGGACTGAGTGTGTACATCTGTTATATTTGTAATTTTGATTATAATGATAAAAGAGAATTAGAATTTGATGGCTGTGGGGATGTTGTTGGGATTGTCAATATTGCTTGATTTGTTGGGAAGTTCGAGATTGGAGAATAACAACCTTAAGGTAATTGCGATATACTTGAGTTTTTGTTGCAAATATTTGGGGATTTGGTTTTTGGGGTATTCAGGTGGAGTGAGTTTCTTGGTTTAGGGAATAATGTGTTAAGCCTTGAGAAGCAAGAGTATTTTTGATCACATGTTTTTATATGAATTGATTGGAATGTTCGGATTAATACTGAATATTTTCAACTAGGAGTGGATTGTCATGGAGAATAGAGCAATATTGGGAATAGAAATAGGGATCGCCTTTTTATTTTTGATCCAATTTTGTAAGATAATGACTCAGAAGTGTTCAGGGCATAGACAACACAATTTAATCCAGAATCAAGTGATAATGGATATGATTGCCAATCACAAGTTGAAATAAGATTACGAGTCTACTCCTTGTCAGTCACCTAGATCAAACCTTCAGAAATTATTCTAATATAATAATTTCATTATTTTTAAGGAGGATTTGGAGATAGTGGAGAGTAATTTTGATCTGAAAATTCATTGGCTAAACGAATCTTCTCCCAACAACAATATTTTAATAGAATAATTTATGTACTTGCAAGTGATTTCTTCAAACTTTGGGGAGAGTGAACAAATATACAGCATCAAAGAATTCATGTTGAAATTCAAAGACAATTTGAAGACACAATTTGCATCATTCATAATTTCCAAGAGTCAAGTTTTTGATTTGGAGAATGTAACATTAAATTTAATGCCATTTCAACGGGATGAAGGTTGTAACTTCATTGTTTCATTTTCCTATTTAAGTCAATTGTTGATCAAGAGATTATAAGATGACAGCAACAATCAAGTATTGATGGACATCAGTAGATCTCTGTCTCATGAACTAGGCACCAATCTAAATAGTATTATGGTATTCTCAAGTTTGGCTTTGCATGATGATGAGGTTCCTGAATTTGTGAAGCAGAAGTACATTTAGTCACTAAAAATCAATAGTGAACAACTGGGCTTAATTGTAAGTAATATAAGAGATTACAATTTAATAAGTTTGTAATAATTCAATCTAAAATTAGAGGAATTCAACATCAATGAGGAAGTCAAGTAAATTGAGAATCTAATGATTGATACCATTAAAAATAAATAGATCAATGTAGTACATGATTATTAAGTGATCAACTCAAATATTATCAATGATAGACAAAGATTTCGATAAGTGTATTTTCAATTTTTGCATAATGCTGTTAAATTCACAACCAGAAATGGTACAATACGCATTAAAATTGAAAGCAGCAGATCACAATGTTAAATAGCCATCTAAGATTCTGGACCTGGATTAGTATTTTAATGTTAATTATTCAATATAGTCTGAAGAGGAGATGGCCAGAATGTAGAATATTCTCATAGGCAAAAATCAATTCGTTTAGATTTCACCTCATTCAGTTGGAAGTGGCTTGGGAATTGGCATTTCAAATAGTATAGTGAAGAGATTGAATGGCCAAAACCTCCCAATACTGTGCGATCAGAAGGGAAAAGGAACCACTTTTACATTCTTGATCAAGAACCATCTACATGAGATGAGCAATTACGATAACAAGAAATCAGTAGAACTCAGATCCAGCAAATCCATCATTAGACTTATTTCTGGTAATTCATACATTGAGTCTCCATTCAGTAATTCAGTTAAATTTATACTTCCATCCATTAATAAAAGCAGCGATTAAATAAATTTCAAGAGTTCCATTGTGGATGATGATAATGTTCTAAAATAACCCAAATTATTGCTGGTCTAGGATCAAGGATCCATACCCATTA